CGAGGGATAATACATTGGGTAAATATGATTTAACTATGTGTTAAAAGTAAAAACAATATTGTATATGTAATAAGCAGCATTAATGTTGCTTCCTATTATTATGATATTGAATTACTTTAAATGCAAATAATGATCACATTTAGTAGAATAAAAAAGAAGAATAAGAGAGAATATAGGAGTCACTTCACTCATTTATTGATAATTAAGTCTATCTAAAAATATTAAGCCAGTCTAAAACTGGCTTAGTCGAAAGCCCAGAATGCATATCAATCTATTTAGAAAAATAAAAAATTAAAACTCTAGAGACACACACTTTTTCTTTTTCTCCATTCTTTTATTTTGCTTTTTTCTGCTAAGATTTTCATCTTTAAAGACAGTATATAGGGATGGAAACAGGTTAGGTCAGGTTAGACTTTACTCTAAATAGGCTTGACCTGTAACATAATTATTAGATATGAGCCTAGCCTGTTACCTGTTAAAGGTTTAGATCTGGCTTGACCTGTTTAAGTGGCCTGACTTGGCCTAAAGTCTGTTAACAAAACTTGTTACAAAAAAAATTAATATTAATAAAAATATAAATATTTTATTTTCAAATTAGTTTTTATATTTTTTTAATTTCTATTTATGTTATTAATAATTATTAAATAATTATAATAATATTTATATAATTTTATAAATAATTTTATAAATATTATTTAAGTATTAATTATAAATATTTTATATTAATAAAATTTATATTTTTCTTGATTTATTTTTTAAAAATTATATAAATAGTAAATATTTTAGTTTTATTTTAAAAACATATTTTGTTTATTTAAAGACATCTTATATTCAACAAATAAAGTTATAGTAAATACATAAAATTGATAAAAAAATAACATTCACACAATTTGTTGAATCATATAAAAGAAAATTATTATATTTTAAAAAATAAATAAATTTAAACTTAATGCAAAATATATATATACATAATGACAATAATAATAACTATTAAATTAAAAAAATAATTATAAAATATTTAATTTTATTTGTTTCATTAATTTGTTATTTTAAATTAATAAATAAACATAAAATTAACTATATTATAACATTAATGTAATATAAAAAATATTACTGATATAATAAATTAAAACATATACTTATATATTACATATAAATTGATAAATTAACTAATAATTTAATTAAAACACGTGCAAGTTACAAAAATATATATTATTATATAATTTATTTATAATTATATTATTTGTTATATGGTCTGATTATATATATATATATATATATTAATATATTATAATAAATTTTTTATTTTATTTTCTTATCATTTTTTATAAATTTTACCTTTCGAATAAAATTAAAAATATGTAAAATTTATTAGAAGAATATTTTTTTTTAATTTTAATTCCTTTAGTTTTGATTGTGTCTTATTCTTCTTCAGCTTAAAGATAACAAATATAATAATTTATGATTAAATAAATTTAGTTTTTAAACACGTGTAATTGTGTATAAATATTTTTAGTTTCAAATATAATATAATTTTTATTTATTATAAATAAAAAGTTATAACATAATATATTAATATAAAAATTAAATATTAATACTAATAAAATTAAGAATATAAAAAATAAATTAATATAATATTATTATTTTATTTTTAAATATTAATTTCTTTAATTTTAGTTAGGTTCTAATCTTATTCAAAGACTTTGCTAGGCTTCAGCTTGTTCAAACAAATATAATAATTTATCTTATATTTATTTTTAAAGTGACTATAAATAATAATAAAACAATAATAAAAAATAAATGCGATAACAACTTTGACTCAGAAATATGTGGTTGTGCTAAGTTTGTAATTTGTTGTGATATAGTTAATACAATGAATGAAATTTTTTATTATAATTTTTATACCAATAAAATTGCTTAAGAAAAAATAAAATAAATAAAATAAATTTGTATAATATTAAAAATTTATAATGATTATTTTTATTGAATAATCTTAATAAAAATATAATTATTTTATTATCAAATTAGTTTACATATATTCAAAATTTTATTTGTGTTATTAATAATTATTAAATAATTGTAATAATTTTTATACAATTTTATAAATAATTTTTAAAATATTATTTGAGTATTAAGTATAAATATTTTGATATTATAAAATATTTATATTTATATTTTTCTCAATTTAATTTTATAATTTTATAAAATTATTACATATTTTAATTATTTTTTATAATAATTATATTTTGTTTGTATAAAGACATCTTATATTCAATACATAAAATCACAGTAAACATATAAAATTGATAACAAAAAATAACACTTACAAAATTTATTGAATCAGTTAAAAAAATTATTATATTTTAAAAAGTAAATAAAAATTGTAGATAAAAATATTTATATTATAAAATTCATAGATGTAGAAATATAACATATGAATATTGAAAGAATTATTAAAATTTATATTTAAATTAAAATAATTTATATTTCTAAGTTTTTACTTAATTAAAAAATATGTGATAAAACTTAATATAAAAATTTAAACTTAATGTGATATATATATATATATATATATATATATATATATAATAACAACAATAATAACTATTAAATAAAAAATAATAATTATAAAACATTAATTTTATTTGTTTTATTAATTTATTATTTTAAATTAACAAATAAACATAAAATTAACTACACTATAACATTAATGTAATATATAAAATATTATTGGTACAATAAATTAAAACATATATTTATTTATTATATATAAATTGATACATTAACTAATAATTTGATTAAAATATATGCAAATGATAAAAATATATATTATTATATAATTTATTTATAATTATATTATTTATTATATAATTTGATTATATGTATATATATATATTAATTTATATTATAATATTTATTTTATTTTATTTTATTATTATTATTTTAATAAATTTTTACTTTCAAATAAAATATAATTTAAATTTAAGTAATTTATATATATTATAAATAAAAAGAATTGTAATGTATTATATTAATATAATAAAATTAAAAGTATAAAAAATATATTAATATAATTTTATTTCGTTTAGTTTTGATTACGTTTATTTTTTTTTAAAAATTAAATTATTTTTTAAATTATTTAAATATAATAATTTATTATTTAAAAAGTGTAATTATATATAAATATTTTTAATTTTAAATAAAATATAATTTTTGATTATTATAATTATAAATAAATAAAATTATAACATAATATATTAATTTAATAATAATAAAATTAAAAATATAAAAAATATATTATTAAATAATTATTATTTAAATATATTTTAATAATTTTATTTTTAAATTATATATATATATATATTTATTTATTTATACAGACTTAACAAGTTTTATAAACAATTCTATTTTATTTACTTAAATAGGTATTTAAAAAATTTAAGTTTAATTTGTTTATTAAAAAGTTCGAAGGACATGCCTAAAATAGGTGAGGGCGTGAGATATTTTCATCTCTAGCAGTATACTCTTAAGGAGAGGGTGGTCGAAGTGTCGCAGAGAGGTTGTTGCTGCAGAGGTTGAGGGATTCAAGGGTGATGATTTGGGAGAGGGTGTCAAGAATGAGACCCACAATGACGTTTTGGAAAAGGTCGAGTTGGAAGAGGCTGCGACAGCACCGTCAGAAATGGTGAAGTTGATGAGGTTGTAAGAGAGAATGAGAGAGAGGAAAAGCAGCAGAAGGCTGCAGGGAAGGAGCCAGAGAGGGAGGCGTTGATGAGTTTGATTGTTAGGGTGTGCCTAGCTTTGAGGAGAAAGAGACTGTCTTGGTTCATACAGAGTCGCAGTTTGAGAAAGAAGAGGAGGAACAAAACCAACTGATACATCTTACCACGATGTTGTTTTGGAACTCTTTGTTACCATTGGTTTTGGTTGGGCATAGAGTTTGCATTTGAGAGTGTGTTAGTTTTGTCAGAAAGAAAAAATAGAAGAAGTAAGAAGAACAGAGGTGAGTCATTGCCCTATTTTTCTGACCTACTCAACCTGTAACTTGTTCAACTCAATTTTCTGAAGCGGATAGTTACAGTTCCAATAATCCAATGATCGGTTGGACTGATCTTGGGTCAACTACACCTGAAATCATCCAATCCAACCCACTGGATAGCCCTTGTAATAATTATGAATATTAAAAGTATTTTATAAAAGATAATTTTTACATTAATTATACGTGTAAATAACATAATAAGATAGAATTATAAACTAAAAAGGAATTTGACAAAGCTATTATTGTATAGTCATATAATTGTAGACTTCAACCAACTAGATTCATCACATGAGTTTTTCCACGCAAAATATTTAAGTTTTTTTTGCACATTTCATTGAGACGGTAAAAGTAAATTTTTTTTTTTGACAAACTAAAAGAACAAGTAAAATTTATAAGGTAAATTTATTTGTTTCTTTACAAGTAATGCACATAATTAATATAACAGTTTTTTAAAGTACATATTACAACTATTTTTACGATATTATTTGAATTAAGTAGAGTTATTATAACAAATAAAATAATAAATTTAAATATTTAATATAATTATATTTATTAAAATTTGAAATTACACATTAAACTTCAAGAACTCTTTATTAATTAATTAATTTGCGTACTAAATGATAAAATTAATATACTCTCAATGAAAAGTCATATTTAATAATAATAAAAAAATCACAACCATTTATTTTATGATTTTTTAAAAAAAATTAAGTATTGCAAGTGTTTAAAGTAAAAATAAAAAAACTCCAAACAAAGAATATGCTTTTGAAATAAAAAATAATTTTAAATTTGGACCATATTGATAAATAAGCGCACTTTTCCATTACATATACGACTCGCATTTCCCATAAATAACAATATCCCTGTAAAAAATTTACTCTCTCTTGGCGAGCCTTTTGTTTCTTCCAGTTTGGGGGTTCCAAGTCCAACCTTCTCTCACACTTCAATTCCAATTATCATTATTTCCTCGCGAGCCGAACAGGAAATCACAGCGATACAGCAAATTCAATAGGCTTCTGATGCAGTGAAAGAGCGTAAATCACAGTCATCATCGTTAATCGCAGCACAATGGGGAGAGAAACGGAAATCCTCTCTCGCCTTGCCGCGAACCATCTTCACTTGGCTCAATTCGAACCCTTACGAGGCGTTCTTCTCGCACTCCGAACGCGAAACCGTGACCTAGCTCGCGGTATTCTCCAAACCATCGTTGCTCGATCGGGTCGGTTCCCGAACATCGCGTGGTCCCCTTCGTGTTCCTCTCCCGCTCTTCTCTCATTCTTGTCCACGCTCGAATTGTTGCAATTGGACAATGCTTCTTCGGCCTGGAATTTTGACCCCGAAACGCTGCGTTTACGCGCTGAATTCTTGCTATTAGTTCAAGATTTAATTGACCTGGTTTCGGAGGAGGATAAAGATGATGGTGAGTGGGGAAGGTGTAGGAGAGTTTTGGATGGGGTTCTGGAATTGGGTGTGAAGAGGTTGAGAGTGGATGTGGATGGTGAAATCGATAGGAGTGAGACTTGGGTAAGTGCCGGTGTGGCTTCGGTTGAGGAAGGAGAACTGATGAGTTTGAGGAAGTTGATTTTGGATCATGCGGGTATTTTTGACGCATTATGTGTGAATATACACAGGCAAATTAGGCATTGGGAGTGTAAGGATTCGGGTTTAGCGATTGCTGTGAAGGGAAATGAGGAATTGGAAGAGGATGCTAGGTTACTTTGTGGGATACAGCGGATTGCTCAGGTTGTTCATTTGGATGCTATGAGGGAGAGCATGGAAGTGGGTGATGCAGAAGGGGCTGCTTCTCACGTACGATTTCTCCATTTTGATTATGGACTTGAGGAGCAATCCGAGTACCGGTATGCTCCTTTTTATTCACATTTTGCAAACACAACAGCTTCTGAGGGTTGCTTTTAGAATTATGTGTTTTTTTTTGCCTTTTTTTGGCTAGTGAATTGTCCCTGCTCAATCTTTCATCTTGATGCATGCATTTATCAAGGGAATTCGGACTATCTTGAATGAAAGAATTGTTTTGTTTTTAGATTTTATTTGAACTGTTGAAACTTTAACAGTAAGCAAATAATGTTTTATTGATTCAATCTTTTTAGTTGTATGTTCAGTGCTGTGGTGGGCTCTTTAATCAAAATTGTGATTATTTAGATCATAGAAGAATGGACAATGAAATGGAAGGAGTGAATGTACATCTGGGAGGAGAGAGAGAGAGATAAATAATCTGATTAAAAAGAGAAAAGAAAAAGAAACCTATTCTACAAATAATAGGATACGCAGAAAGATTTTATTCCTATCCTGTTGCCTGTAAGTTACAATGTTCCTGTGTTTTGTGAGCTTTTTTTAACCTTTTTCCTGTCCTAGATGTTCATTCCTTGTTTTCTAATTCTTTTGTAGCTTAGTTTTGAAAGATCTCCTGAAGGTTGTCCTATCAAGAAGTGAGAAGTTTGGGGACTCTTGGCTTATCATGCGTAACCAATTGCTTCAGATTTATAGTGAAGCCCTTTCGTCAAATTGCAGAGATATTGTTCAAACATTGCAGGTATGCATTCTCTTTTCTTTCTCCCAATGATTTCATTAGTATAATTATTTCTTGAAGATATTATCTTAACAAAGCCTTCAGACAGTAGCATACTTTCATTGTTGCATACTATATGATTTCTTCATCATTATGTATTCTTTTATTGCTCAAGAATTTTTTCTCCTTAGCTTGTAAAGATGTAAAGTAATTAATTAATAATGCTCAGGAAAGTGCCAAAGTGACACAATTACATAAAACACAATCATGAGTTCAAAAGGGATGCATTAAAATAGAAAGCAAAAGGTAGTAAGTATTTTAAAGAGACTAATAATTCTGAGACACCTTACTTATGTTAAAGGAAGCAGGCTAAACCATTGTTCAAGCGGGAAGAAATTTCTGGGATCTCTTATGTTGTCTTTTAGGAGACATGATGGTTTGTTAAAACATTTTGACTTCTGATCAATAAGGTTCTTCACAGTAAACAATTGATGCATTTTCTGTTGTCTTCCCCTTCCTCCCTTCACGAAACCACCTTGGAGAAATTGGTTCCACAATCACTCAATTTGTATCAATTTATTTGTCACTTTGTCTTGGGGGTTGATTCTTTCCTTTATTTAAAAGGTGTCTAACTGATGATAAGATTACAACATATAGTTTTCCCCCTAGCATTTAATGTAAAAGAAAATTTAATTCTGTTTACCTATTTTAAATATCAACGTTTCTCTTTAGAGAATTCATGATGAGCTATTGTCTGAAGAGATTAAAATGGATAGAGTTCAAACTGAAAACTTCATTCCACGTCCTCTCGTACATCTTCAAAGATACCTGGCAGAACTGAAGCCTGGGAAGAATTCAGATGATAAGGCATTATTCCTGAATGAGGTAATTAGATCTTGCAAGACAGAGATGTATCATTATGCTCGTGTTTCTGGACTGCATGTTCTTGAGTGTATTATGGATACTGCCCTGTCTGCTGTGAAGAAGGAGCAGCTGGAAGAAGCTAGCAATGTATGTGCCAATTTTTGTTATTTATGTCACTATGCGTTTGTATAATTTTTATTAAGGAATGCTAGCAATACACTCTTTGTAACACACTCTTAACTGTTGGTTGAAATTGATTGAAAACTACAAAAATTATGAAGGTCTCACTCTTTTTTACTCCTAAAGTAATGTTTCTCTCTCATACTTTTTAATTTTTAATAAATTTTAGCCAATAGTTAGGAGTGTGTTAAAAAAATGTATTACAGAGTGTGTTGCTATTATTTTCTCAATTGATACTTTATCAATTATTATATGAACTTCCTATTAAACTCTCCTCATACAGCTGTGTGCTTCTTGTTTATGGCAGGTCCTCCAATTGTTTCCACAACTTCAGCCTTTGGTAGCGGCCATGGGTTGGGATTTATTAGCTGGTAAAATAGCAGCACGGAGGAAATTAATGCAGCTTCTCTGGACAAGTAAGTCACAAGTAATTCGGCTTGAAGAATCTTCTCTTTATGGTATTAAATCGGATGAGGTATTTTTCGCCTTTCATGTTTCAAAATGTGCTTTGTGAGTATGAACAGGTGGAACTTTGCTAAAAAACTTAATTTACTCTTCTGACAGATGTCCTGTGTAGAGCATCTATGTGATACCTTGTGTTACCAGCTTGATCTTGCCTCTTTTGTTGCTCACGTGAATTCTGGCCAGTCTTGGAATTCAAAGTTGTCATTATTACTTTCTGGAAAAGAACAAGTGGCATTTAGAGATGAAGATGCTTATTCTGATCCTTTTGTTGAGAACTTTGTATTGGAACGACTTTCAGTCCAGAGTCCTCTTCGGGTAAAACTTTATGTTAAATGCATGGCATTGTAATCAGTACACTTGGAACTCGTGCCTATATTTGGAAGGTTATAATTGCATATCAATACTCATAATGTGTAATTCTATTCCTGTTCTCACTGAAGAAAGTCCTCCCTCATAGGATGTGCTTGAATATTTGAACTTTGTTTTTTGTGATACATGGTGGTATGTTAGCAGTTGCTAGGGATGCTTTTGTTCTTATTTAGAAGAGAGAGGAATTATGAATTTTAGACAGTGATATGTTTTATTGACCTTCATGATCTTATATATTCATTGATGCCTGTAACTTTGTGGGTAAAACTATATTAGGAATGATGGTACATTCCTTCTAATATTTCGGTACCTGTCTGTAACTTTAGCAAGTGATACTGCAAATTCATTGATGCCATTTGACAATATAAAACTCTTACAGTGGTTATATATTTATTGATGAAAAGAGAATTTATTAGAAAAAATTATGTTTGTTGATACTTGATGGGTATAATCATAAAGGACAGTGACTCGGCCTTTAAATAAAAAAGCATAGTCACTATTAAATTGCAGCCTTTATTTTAAAGAAAATATAATAAGTTGATGATAATATGTATTTTTTTTAATGAAATATTTGAAGTTTGAGATTTATTGTGTTGTACTTTGAGTTTTATATGCTTTGATTTGAATGTTAAATATGCTAGCATTATCTTCTCTGTAGGTGCTATTTGATGTAGTTCCAGGCATAAAATTCCGGGAAGCCATTGAATTGATCAGTATGCAGCCAATTGCTTCTACTATTGAAGCCTGGAAGAGGTGTGCTTATGATGTCTTCTCTGTCAGTGATGGTCTTTCAAAGTAGTTATCTTGATATTAAGACAGATGTTTGCCAAGTGGCTGGTTGTGCTGAGTTTGTTTGTTAATTAGATAAGACTACACACTTCATTGATTCATTATAAGAATCTATTTTGCGGAGAAAATTACAGGAAAAGGAATGCATGGTAAAAATATTTTCATTTTGGGAACAATCAACAATCATGCAGTTGGTAATGAGAATTCAATTTTTTGTCTGTGTCTGTGTGTGCTTGCACTTAATAAACATCCATTTTGATTGGAAAATAAAGAAAATAATCCATTTTGCTTCCTAGATGTTCCATCATTTATATTTTTGATAGGAAAGGGACGTTTTATAAAGAGCAAAAGTGAGAGGATAAAACATTCTCCAAAGACCAAAACAGAAAAAGAAAAAAAAAATGGAAATTGGAAAATGAATGACTCATGGATGCATCAGGATTGCTAATATGTATGCTTATGTATATATATTATAGAATTTGAAAATATTGTTCCCTATGTGAATTCTTTCACTTCTGTTATATATTTGTTTCCTTTTATCAGTGTAATTATTTGTTATTCCTGTCAGCCGCTAAAATGAAATGTTTAAATGTTTTGTGTGAGTGATAGTTAATTGTTTGAGATGGGGTACTGGATGGGCATTCTGATTAACAACTTGCATTGTGTTATGTTGATACATGGAATTTAGCAGTAATGCTAGGAACACCCCTCTTGATTTGCCTTTGGATTTATCTCTGTCGTTTCATCACATTTTTTGCAAATATTGGCATGTAATCTGCATGCTGTTGACTTGGGTGAGGCCACACTGGTGTGGCTAGACTTTCTTGACATAAAATGTTCAAACACATAATGTCTTTTAATCATAGTTGTCAATAGCAGGCTATAATGGCACTAAAGTGGAATAGTGAGAGAAGTGGTCATAGGCTGCTATAGAATTTGAATAGAGGAGCGTTTTTAAATAGCAGGTGTAGTGCCTGATATAGCGGCAGTGCTGGAGTGAATATTTTTTAAAAAACATTTTAGCCCTATAAGAGGCACCGTTCTGGGGGAATTTGTACTTTAATTGTTATTTACTTGTATGTTTTGTTTAAGAGCTATGATTTTTTTAAAAATATTTATGATTATGTCATGGATTTTGAGTATTTTGAGTTATGTTAAAGTTTTTTGAGTATTTATATATATTATAAATTAGTTAATTTGCATGTAAAATTTCTTAATAGTGGTATCTTGTTATGTGCCTATCCCGGTATAGCATTTTTGGACTTGGCTGTTATGGCGCTGCAATCCAAGATAGATAACTATGCTTATAATTACTATGCAATGTCTGTTTTGTTCTTTGAACCTTATTTTCTTTGCTAATTTTCCTTCTTTTGGCACAGTAAGCAAGATATAGAACTCATGCATATGCGTTATGCTCTAGAATCAGCTGTTATTTCCTTAGGATCAATGGAAAGGAGTATGTCTGATGAAGTAGAAACTCATCAAGATGTGCCATTATTTCAGTTGAAGGACTTGCAGAACCATTTGGATGCAATTAGTAATCTTCCACGCAAGGTTATCCCTTTTGAATGTTTTTTTCAATTTTTTTTCCAATTTCTAGCTTCTCTGGATGATAATCATTGTAAGCAGTTTTCTTCACGTAGTTGTGCTTAACAAGCATTTATCATAATCTAATTCTTGTCAGTCTACACTTAGTAATTTATTCATTTCTCTATATTTTTTTGGATGATTTTTTTCTCCTGACTTAAATGAAATAATTTTTCCAGTGACAAGTTCTGTGTGTTGTATTTAATATTTTGTTAATTGTTTAACCCCCCCCCCTCTCTCCAATATTACTTCCATTTATTTAAAATTAAAACAAAAATGTTTTATTTGTATCCTTCAGTCTATTGATTTTCACAACATAAATTTAAGGGAAAAGTTTACGTAGGATGTAATATGTTATGTATCAAGATTCAAGTATTATTTAATGGTATGATACATCTATTAACAAAGGGTCCTTCTGGCATTGTTTTGCATTTTACATTATCTTTTTATTTTCTAATATTTAAAGTGTTGGCATCCATTGTTCAAAAACTAATTATTTCCTTTTTAGTTGTTTATCTAACCTAATTTTTTATGATGCAGATCTTGATGGTGAATGTCATAATTTCGCTACTGCATATGGATAATATCTCTGTTAATTTGATGCATTGTGAATTACCAGGAAGCAATTTTAAATTATCCAATACATGCTCTTCACAAGATAGTTCTTCAAGTAGAAGTGAAGGGGGGAATAAAATGGTTATTTCTTTCACTAGTTTGCTACTTGATATATTGCATCATAATATTCCATCCTCTATGATTGAATTAGAGCATGCACTAGATGATGGTGTTAGCACAACCAGCAGACAGGCCCTTGAGTGGAGAATCTCAATCTCAAAGTGTTTCATTGAAGAGTGGAAATGGCGTTTGTCAATTTTGCAGCATCTCCTACCGTTATCTGAACGGCAATGGAGATGGAAGGAGGCATTGACAGTGTTACGTGCCGCTCCATCCAAGCTACTCAACCTGTGAGTTTCATTTCTAATGCACAAAATTGCAAAAATGTGCAACTTCATATGTGTTTTTCTTTAAAAAGTTACATGCGTAAAGTGCATTACTACCAGAATAATCTTTTTCACTCCTTAATAAAAATATTTAATAGTTCACTCTGTGATGTAATTTATATTTTTTTAGTTTTCTTTTCTTTCTTGGTCTTTGGTTCTTCTCTAATGGATTTGCCAAATAGTAGATAGGCTTTTGGACTAATGTTCTATTAATGGTTTTCTTTGAGTAAAGCATCGTTGTTGTCCCTGCTAGATTTGGGATTGGTTACATTAGTCCTTTCAATGATGAAAATCACCATGTTTTCCATTAAAGATGAAATTGTTGATCATTTTTTTTTTAACATCAATTTAGTCCTTTTTGATTGACATTTTCATCTTCCAGGGATGAAAATGATGATTTCTTTCTTTCAGAACTAATGTGATTGACCCCAAATATTTTTTCTTTACTTTTTTGTTTTACCTATTGTGAGAAAAATTATTGTCCTCCTTCTATATGTTAATTTGGCTTCTCTGTCCCAAAAATCTGATATTGTTTTTCTTCTTCAGTTGCATGCAGAAATCAAAATTTGATATAGGGGAAGAAGCAGTTCATCGATTTTCATTATCTGCTGAAGACAAAGCTACTCTTGAGTTAGCTGAATGGGTAGATAGTGCCCGCAAAAAAACATCTGTATGTTCTTTATTTTGTTTTAATTTCCTAGAACTGTTGAATAAGGTTTTGACTCAATTTTTTCTGTCATATTATTTCCTTCTCATGGTTTGAATTTCCTAGAAATGTTGAACTTCTGGTTTTGGCCTTCTCATTCTTGCCGAAACCCATGAAACAAATTGTGAGAAATTGCTCCTTGGTCAAAGTACTCACCTGGTGTTCACCAAGAACTGCTAACAGATTATTCCATAACAGCGTAGCAGCCTGATAATAAAAATATACACTGGAAATTGTTCCTATTCCTAAACCGTACTTGCTTCATTTCCATAACAGTAGAAGGGGAGTTAGAGGTCTCCAAATCCATAGCATATCATTTGTAGTAATTTCTTTATTTTTTGTGATTGTGAGTGCTACTTCTGAATAAAAGCTAAGTTTAGTGTCAGGTTTGAGAAATGGGGCAAGGGTTAGATATTAAGTTTTGTCATGGGAAGGGCTATCATTGCAGGAAAGGTTGAGTTGGTAGGCTGCGTATCTGAGATGGCCAAACTCTTACCCTTTAAACATCCATGGGAAGTGGATTAAAGTATATGAGATACCCTTATGCATGTTGATGTATTGCTCCAACCAAATACGCTGCATATAAGGACCACTATTCTTTGCCAGAGTTTAACCCCATTTCTACGAAAACATTTATAATAAACCAATGAAAATTGCTTATGCAGTGATCATAAAACGAGCAGTGTGAGGGATGGTTTTATTCTTTTAGCTTGTTAAAATGGTAGGTTTATTGGCTGGAACACCCCCATCATTGGCCTCTATGATTTGCTTCTCCCCTCCACCCTTTTTCTTCTTTGTTTTTATTGGTTTTGTATTATATTGTTGGACATGAAGTCATGAAGATGCTTTTATCATTTTCAAATCACCTCATCCTCTGTGTTTTATGTGACACATAGATGTTTTTTATTCAGTATCCCTTGTTGAGCTGACTAGTCATGGTTGCAATCTTTTGTATGGTTTTCTTGTTAGCACCTTCTAATCTCTTTCATGAATGAGAGGGCATATATATTTTTGCTTGTATGCAGGTTGATGATGTTATGTCCCGTGTACAGGATCTAGATTTTTTGTCATTGCGCTCCCAGTTGGGTCCCTTGGCTACAGTAAGTGCCTACAATGCTAAGAGAGCAATTTAGACTATTTCATTTCAACTGAGGGAAAATAATATACTGTGTATGGTTGGTTCTGAGAATGTAGTCGACCTCACTAAGTGGGATAAGATTCGATTGTTGTTGTTTGTTCTGAGAATGTACGTTTCTTGCCAGATTCTTCTCTGTATAGATGTTGCTGCAACTTCAGCTAAGTCTGCAATGATGTCTCAACAACTATTGAATCAGGTGCTGCCATCTTTTCCCATTATATTCCTCTCAATGATTTTCCCCCCCTTCACAAAGAAATTATATTACAGATTGGGAAGTGTGAACAAGATGAAATCAAGCAGCAGCAAAAGAGATTTTCATGAAATTTATAATTAAGACTTGATTTTGGCATTGTTGAAGTTTACAAATTGTAGGTTTCTAAAGACTTGTTTACTAGTTTTAGAATGTAACAAAGTGTGTTTCCCTTCCATGCCCATTAGATGTTTCTTGTTAGCATATTATTAATATTAATAGAGTGAAATCAAATCTTTTTCATTAGTTTTACTCTCTTTCTATGGAAGAAATTGGAGGTTGTTAATAAGGGAGCCATTGTTAAAGTAAAGTAGTAATTTTTATGATATAAGTTTTGGAATTAGCCTTTGTAGACATATTTGTTGTTCCATTAGGTTTTTTTTTCATAATACGCTATTGATTGCTAAATTCTATTTCTAGTCCTCCTTTAGTCGATTAATCTTGCAAGCTTTTGTCCTGTTGACTAGATGTTTTGTTCTTTATTATTCATACAATGTGCAGGCCCAAACTATGTTATCTGAGATATATCCAGGAGGATCTCCCAAAGTTGGATCCACTTATTGGGATCAGGTCCTTGAAGTGGGAGTCATCTCTGTGTCTCGGCGTCTTCTGAAACGCTTACATGAGTTCTTGGAGCAGGTGATGGCTTGAATATTATTTAATAGTGTATGAATCATTTGGTTTGTTTAGGCATTGTGTGATCTATCTAGCCAACTCACTTAGTGGGATAAGGCTCAATTGTTGTTGTCAAGAATCATTTTCACGAAAACTGAAATGTCTCTTCCATGCTATAATTTCCTTTTCTGATTTTAAGCATTGGCATAAGCCAACTAAATTACCATGTTAGTTTTTGTTCCATTAAGATGGTTTTATATGCAGATACAAAACACTTTTTTGGCCTTGTTTGACAGTTTGAGTTTTTAAAGTTATGTGATTGTTTGACTGACATGGTATAATAGCATTTTTGATCAATAAATTTAGAGTTCAATACCCTCATTCTCACTTGGCTATATGAATCTTTGCACAAATAGTGTGCAAAAATCCAAACCCAATGGACTTTTACATAATAGAACATGCTCAGGGTTTAAAATATTTTTGGGCATTTCTTGAATCAACATAGTTTGTTGACTATTAAATACTTTTTCAGACTATCTACTAGTCTCCCTGTTTGCAACTTTCACAGGATAACTTTCTTACTGACAGGCATGTTCACTTATTATTGTTGTCTTTTCTGCTCTAGTATCTCTTTCTCTCTCGCGGTGTAATGTGTTGTAGTCTTTGAATAGTAACATTTTTTAAAATAATTTTTGACAGGATATCTTTTGTGCTTTAGTCTCTCTCTCTCTCTCTCTCTCTTCCAGTGTAATGTGCTGTATTCTTTGAATAGTAACATTTTTTTAATAATCTTTTTGTGATGTTGTGATAATACAAAACACTAACCTAGTTCTATTCATACTAGTAACGTAGGTCAAGTACATGTGTGATACAGTAGTTGAAGCAAATCCCGTTAACATTCTTAACACAAGTAGATTTCTGTGATTGATTGAATCTGAAGATGTCTTGCATAATAACACCTCAGCTCATCCCGCTAACATTCTTAACATAAGTAGATTTCTGTGATTGATTGAATCTGAATGTCTTGCATAATAACACCTCAGCTTGGTAGTAGAATGTCAGAAATAAAGCTATTTGTGCTGAGCAAGGCTGGTGATGTGCCACTGTTTGAAGGCTTTAGAGAGAGTATAAGTCAAAGCACTTACCTCATAAATTGATTACTTTTTAAAAATTGCTTTAACTTTTTTAAAAATTAACCAATCACAAGAGGATACAATAATGTGCTCAAAAGAGTGTGTTTGCCAGCATTTCCCCACGTGTGATTGGCATATCTATTGCCTTTTATGATAAGTGGAGAAACTTTATTATAACTTGAGAAGAGATGCTAGGAGAGGAGGATAAGGCATCCTCCCTACCCAAAGAAAAAGTTGAATGAAAAAAACCAATTGAAACAAAAGAACTCCCCAATTTTAGTCAAGGATATACATCCTTAATGCCACTCTGAAGAATGTATCCAAGCTACAAACATAATCCTACTCTCTAATAAATAAATAGTTCTGAATGAAGATATCAGCATTTATATGTAGCCAAATATACCAAAGAACAGCTTAAATAGCACACTGCCAATCAAAACTTTGCCTTTCTTGATACTGCAAAGCCACTGAACTTAATCAAAAGATGTTCCATACACCAAGGAAAACTTTATCTTAAGGTTCTCTGAGCATAAATATACCTTGTATGTTATCTGCTCCTTTCCCGTTTGGTAATGGAGGTTTTACCAAGTGGATTTGCCTTTTTTTTTTGTTTCAATTTTCTTTTTATTATGATTTCCCCCTTAATATTTTTTGTGGAGAATGTGCCAAAGTTCCACCTATACTTTTATGCACGTACCTTATACAGCATATACAAGTGCCATACCAAAAAAACATAGAACATATAAATGCTGTGAATTAGGCTGTGATCTTGGTAATGATGTTTATATGATATGTTCCTCCAGGACAATCCTTCAGCACTCCAGGCAATCCTATCTGGGGATATTGTCATCATGTTGTCGAAAGAGTCCTATCGGCTAGAACAGAGAGAGCGTGCTCTTGCTTTGCTACATCAGATGATTGAAGATGCTCATATGGGCAAGCGGCAGTTTCTGAGTGGTACGTCTTTCTTCTTTTACTTTAGGCATGTTGATGGTGTTGTTATTTGCAAAAAATGTATACTTACGATGGTCATTTTATTCTTTTTTTTTTTTTCCATATAAATTCTAACGATGGGGTATAGTCTATGCTTATCAAGTACTACTTCTATGATTATAACACATTTTTATACTTCAATCAGGTAAGCTTCATAACCTTGCACGAGCTGTTGCTGATGAAGAAACTGAATCGAGTACTACTAGAGGTGAAGGATTATATGCTGATCGGGGTGTTATTTCCAACAATGATAAAGACATTGTACTTGGGCTTGGGTTAAGAGTTGTTAAACAAATACCTTTAACTTCAACTGGAGGAGAGTCTGGCTTGCAGTCTGCTGGTTATGATATTAAAGATTCCGGGAAGAGAATATTTACTCCCTTGAGTGGCAAACCTATGACATATCTGTCACAATTCATTCTTCATGTTGCTGCAATTGGTGACATAGTTGATGGGACTGATACTACTCATGATTTTAACTTTTTCTCCGTCGTTTATGAGTGGCCTAAGGATGTAAGATTCTCAAAATATTTGAATAATTGACAGAGTCTGATTTGAGAACTAACAACTACCATGATTATTAATATCCTAAGCAAGTTGCTGTTGCAATTAACAGTGGATCTATTTTCGTAATCAGAAGTTAATCTTATATCACTTTTGCCTCTCTGCACTGCAATTGTGGATGCCGATGAAAACTGTGCAAACCTTGTTTTCATTATTACATTGTTTGTTGGAGATAGTAATAGTATTAGCACTTAGGAAATAGTATATTTGTGTATCACATGATAAAATGTATTTAGTACTCATGGGTATTAGTGTTTAGGAAGTTGCACTCAATTAATATTGGCTCGAAAATAGTCTCCACTCTCTACTCTCCCCTTAGTTTATTTAGACTATATATGTGAAACAATATGCCAAACCTATGTACTACATTTTCTTGAATACGAAAGCTGTTTTAAATCTCTTAATTTCTCTCTAAAAGATTCTGTTCTCTCTCTCTTAACCACCCCTCTAAATTCAACAATGTTCAACATTGACAACCTATTTGTATTTACCTCTCTATGCACTCATCTCAGCACTCTCACATTTAACATTTTCTGCCATCTATTTAGATAAAGATTGCATGTTTACCTTTTTTTGTTCCCTAATAATACCTAGTTTGATGTAATGTAAGACTGCTGCCGGGTGACTTGGTGGTTATGGATTCTATTTTTAGAAATAGCCTTTTTGCTCGTGGCGGTTAAGGCTGCTTCATACATTTGACTCTTCCCAAACCTTGATGGAGTCATGAAATTTTGTTGTTTTATATCTTGAGCATATTTTGCTTTCCTTTGACCACGTGTATTCTACTGTTCTTTTTTGCAGCTTTTGACCCGTCTTGTTTTTGAAAGAGGCAGTACTGATGCAGCTGGGAAGGTAGCTGAAATTATGTGTTCTGATTTTGTACACGAGGTGATTTCTGCATGTGTGCCACCGGTTTATCCGCCTAGAGCTGGACATGGATGGGCATGCATTCCAGTTGTTCCTACATTCACTAAGAGCTTCTCTGAAAGTAAAGTGCTGTCTCCCTCATCCAAAGATGCTAAGCCTAATTGCTATTCTCGTTCTTCAGCCACACCTGGAGTGGCTTTGTACCCTCTCCAGTTGGATGTGGTGAAACATTTGGCAAAAACATCCCCAGTGAGGGCTGTCTTAGCATGTGTATTTGGGAGCAGTATACTGTACAACAGTAGTAGCTCTTCAATTTCAAGCTCCTTGAGTGATGGATTACTTCAGGCTCCAGATGCTGATCGGTTGTTTTATGAGTTTGCTCTTGATCAATCTGAAAGGTAGCAATCCCCTCTGTGTACTGGTTGGCAATGGTATTTTCTTTCAACTATTTAGTGCAAACAATATTTAGTCTGTATCTAAATATTATCTTAGATACTTAATCATTAATAATATAATTTTTTTTCATTTGAATATTATTGACTTTATAGATTTTCCATCATAATATATTTTCTTATATAATGTTATACAACTGCCCTTTTGTAACTTGTGTCTCTGACGACTCTGAGCTAGAGTAAGTCGATTAAGAATTAATTTAGTAGGTCCTGCAAGTTTTTACTTTTTCTTTTTTATGAAGCTTTTTAAGAAAATCCTTGCTTAAAATTGCATAAATGTAAGATTAAAAAGTATTTAATTTTTATATGGAAGGTAAAAAGGAATTGACATTTTGGAACAGCAATGGTTTTCAGCCTGTGACATTTTTATTCCATTCATTTTTGTGGCTTTGGTAGAATGAAAATTATAGATCCTTCCATAAGGTGATCTCTTTGTGGGGTTGGTGATTATTGGTGGAGCAGTCCAAGATCTTCTCTCCAAATATTTCTTTGTTCACATCTCATGTTAGCATATGGTTATGCTTGTTTAACCTTTTCATCTGGTGCACAGGTTCCCAACTTTAAACAGATGGATACAAATGCAAACTAACCTCCATCGAGTGTCAGAATTTGCTGTAACTGCTAATCAAACAGCTGATGATGACAATCTTGAAGCAAGAACTTCTGTTAAGAGAGTTCGTGAACATGACACTGAGACAGAATCAGAGCCTGATGAAATTGTTAGTGGCAGTGCAATCCCTGTAGCTCTGGCAGACCTAAATAGCCAAGGGATTGAAAACACAGACTTCTGGCGTGATTCCTCAAAATCTGAAGCTGGTCAACTCGACACCACAGTTTTCCTTTCTTTTGATTGGGATAATGAAGAACCATATGAGAAGGCAGTGGAACGGTATCATATTTCAAATTGTTCAAACTATAATTTTTCCCCTCACATTAAGTTTTGTTGCGCTTGCATTAAAATGTTGCCAACTTGGTGTAAGTAGTGCAAACAAGATGTACACACACATTCACTATTTAATTCGTATTAGTGTTAATGATTGCTTGTAATGGTAATTTAGCTTCATTCATCATAATCTGAACTTTGCATCAACTTTAAAACAAATTTCCATTTCTAGAACTTTTTATTTTAGTGTTGTTTGAGATAGGCAATGTGGAAGAGTAGAAAACACCCATACCTTTTGAACCATGATCTGTGTCTGTACCAACTTTTCTGAATATCCTTTTTTGTTGACAGTTTTAGGGTAATTTACATGTCTGTACCAATTCACAACTTGTCTCTCTTTAGCAATTTACATGTTACAGAGTGTCCTTTCTGCTTCTGTTATAGACTAATTGATGAAGGAAAGCTAATGGATGCTCTTGCACTTTCGGATCGCTTTATACGTAATGGAGCCTCTGATCAGCTACTTCAATCAGTCATTGAACGTGCAGAAGAAATCCATTCAAATTCCATACAGCGTCAAGGATTTGGAGGACGTAATATTTGGAGCAATAGTTGGCAGTATTGCTTAAGGTTGAAGGACAAACAACTGGCTGCTAGATTAGCCCTTCGGTGTGTATATCATTTCATTTTGGTGAAGCAAGTTTATGTGTCTGGGGTGAAGAGTTTATGGGAAATGCTAGCAACACAGCATATAAGATACACTTTTCAATAAACTATTTTTGGGTGGATTTCATGTGGATCACTCTAAAGAGAGTGGGCATAAGTTTTTTTTTGTGACCCACTTTACATTCATTAAATAATAGTATGTCAGAATGTGTGTGCTGCTAGAATTGACAATCATGTGATTCTCAATTCATTCTGTTAGAGATATGAAACCGTTTTCAACGTCACACCTAACTTCTTAAGCTTTTAGGAGAGTTAATTCTTAACGTAATATCAAAGCCTCAATGACCAAAATGTTCATGAATTCAATCCTTGCAACCTCAATTTATAAGTAAATTAAATTTTAATACGAGGTAAATTGGGCTTATGCACTGTCGATGCCTCAAGCCCAAGCAGTCTTGTTACTTGTATGAGGGGGGCATGTTGAGTCATTTAGAATTATAAAACCATTCCTGATTATCCACCTAAGCTAACAGCTTAAAATTTTATGATTTGATTATTAACACATTCTATTGCTTTCTCTTTATTTGTGTTTATAATTTTAATCATTGTTAAATTGTGCTATCCAGTATTTGTCTCAGCCTGTAATGCCAGTTTTAAATTTCAAAACTTTATAATAGGTATGTGCACTCATGGGAATTAGATGCTGCTTTGGATGTTCTCACAATGTGCAGCTGCCATCTACCTGAGAATGATTCTAATATGAAAGAGGTGAAAATTTCCACTTATTCTTTTAAAGCTCCATTGTAGTATCAATATTACTACTATGGTATGATGCATGGGTACTCTTAAATGGTTTCCAAATCTATAGAAAGTACATATCTAATGTAGGCAACAGTCTATCCCCTCCCAAACTAAAAGAATTTGGTATCAAAATACCTTTGGATACATTTCGGTCAAGCATTACAGTGAGTTTGACAGTGGTCAATTTACAAGCTAGCCATGCAAAAGACCAAGTTTTGCTCCAAATGAAACAAACACTGCTACTACATTCCTTTGAAACCTTGTTTTAATTCTCTCCCACCCCACCCCCACCCCCACCCATATCTCATTCTTTTTAGACTTAAGATGACATTATTTGTTGAAATGCTTAGGTTTTGCAAATGAAACAAGATTTACTGAGGTACAGCCACATATTAAGTGCAGATGATCATTATACAAGCTGGCAAGAGGTTGTATTCTCTTCTTTGAACTTTGACATACATGTCTAATGCAGAAATGCTATGTCATTTTTATCATTTTTCTCCAGAAATTTAGATTGTTTGCATCTGTGTATACGAGAGTTTAATTGTGTACAGCCTGTAATTGATATATTGATAACTTTTTAGCTTCTAGAAACATATTTCTCTTTTTCAATTTTCCTTTCTCTTATGGTGGCTCATGGCCTTAAAAAAAAAAAAAACTTAGGTTGAAGCAGATTGCAAGGAAGATCCAGAGGGGCTGGCACTTAGGTTAGCTGGAAAAGGAGCTGTTTCTGCTGCACTAGAAGTGGCAGAAAGTGCAGGATTATCAATTGATTTACGGAGAGAATTGCAGGGCCGGCAGCTTGTGAAGCTTCTAACAGCTGATCCTCTTAATGGTGGAGGACCAGCCGAAGCCTCACGCTTTCTTTCTTCGTTACGGGACACAGATGATGCTCTGCCAGTTGCTATGGGTGCAATGCAACTTTTACCCAATTTGCGGTCAAAGCAACTTCTTGTAATCTAGCATTTCTTTATGATATCTTTACCCTTTTTACTAATAGAATTATTTTTAAACAGTTCTATATGGATATTTGAAATTGAATCTTCATTTTGATGACCATTTCTCTGTGCTTTATTTGAAGGTTCACTTCTTCTTGAAGCGGAGAGAAGGGAATCTGTCAGATGTGGAGATTTTCCGCCTTAATTCGTGGGCTTTAGGGCTTCGTGTGCTGGCTGTCTTGCCGGTGCCATGGCAGCAAAGGTGTTCTTCCCTGCATGAGCATCCTCATCTGATTCTGGAAGTGCTGCTGATGAGGAAACAATTGCAATCTGCTGCTCTGGTAATGCAGTTTTAACATCAATCTAATACCTTCACTAGCATGTTTTTCCCCCTCCCATTTACTACTATATTTGGAAGTATTGATAGCAAGGTTGTCAAAATCAAGATTTACTTAAAAGTAAAATGCATGTAAATTATGTGATAATAACACAAATTGTAAAATCTTACTTAAAATACAAAGTTATATTTAATAATAGACATATAAAATACCTTGAGAGAAGCCTTTAATTTACAATTAACAACATTTTATTAAACAATTTAAAAAATATATAAAAACTTTTTATATATAACTCCTCAGTCAAACCTGCACTAGATGTTGGACAAGCTAAATATATCCTAATATAAAATACATAAATTTTTTAAAACATGCCAGATTAGTGGGACCTAAGGTGGCTTCTTGATACCGAGGGTTTTGGACAAAAGGAAAATTGTCCCTCAGTAAAAACATTTGTGTGAGATTGAGAAGAGACACAGCTACAAATTAACAATACTGTTGAATTTGAACCCCTTCAACCTGCACCAGATGTTGACGAAGAACAGGGGGTGTAGGTTGCAGTTGTGAGATTATTAGAGTCTGGAACAGAGAATCACATGCCCTGTAATTGAGAGCAAGAAGGAATGTAGGCATTAATTGCTGGTGTGAGAGATTACTGGAGGTCTGGAACAGAACCACTCATACTGCATCAGAGGGGCTGACAAAGAACATATGTAGATCGCAGGTTTGAGAGATTGATGTCTAGGGATCCATGAAGAATGGAGACTGATGAAGAGCCATGAACCACGATGTACTGAGAGACAATTAAGAGAGTAAAGGTTAGTTTTGGTCAAAACCGCTTAAGTCATAGGTTGTACGGCTCAACCTGTCAAAGTTGTGGGTGGTACCACCTACTGAAGATCGACAATTCCATTGTCTTGATGATTGTCCTGAATGATCCCACCAGCTCACGATCTCTAGTATTGGAAGCCGCATGAAAAGTGTAGAATCTGATGATCCTTTGCACAAATGTACAATTTTGACAAAAATGATTGAAAATAAAGCGTTTGGGATGCTTGTCTCACATATAGCTTGTTTTTGTCTGTACTTTTTACACAATATTTTCTTTAATCTTCTTGATTACTTCTCTCTCTTATACAGTGGGATGTTTACCTGTATTTCTGTAGATATTGAAGGAATTTCCTTCTTTACGAGACAATCATGTAATTACTACATATGCAACTAAAGCTATCGCTGTCAGTATCAGCTCGCCTCCTAGGGAACATCGTATATCTGTCTCAGGATCCAGACCAAAGCAGAAGGCAAGATCAGGTGCCCCACAGAGGTTGTCTTTTACGAGCAGTCTAAGTAACTTACAGAAAGAGGCTCGGAGAGCTTTTTCATGGGCTCCAAAAAATACAGTGGACAAAAATGCTCCAAAAGATGTTTATAGGAAAAGAAAAAGTTCTGGTTTGTCTCCCTCTGATAGAGTTGCTTGGGAAGCAATGACTGGAATTCAAGAGGAACGTATTTCATCTTTTTCAACAGATGGGCAAGAGCGGCTTCCTTCTGTTTCAATTGCTGAGGAATGGATGCTTACAGGAGACCCACTAAAAGATGAAATCATTCGTTCATCTCACAGATATGAAAGTGGCCCTGATATTACACTGTTCAAGGTATAGTAATTAGTAATGAGTTGCTCTTCTAGGAGGATATCATTTTTGAGAATTAATAGAATATTTCTGCCTTTTAAGCTCTGATATAATAGAAGCTATCTTAGTTGGGAGTCACTGGGTGCTAATAGTGATAGCTGAAGCCATTGTAGTTTCTTAATGTCTTCACTGAATATATCTTTACTGCTTTTATTAATCTCTGTTAAGATGTCTCACATTGGTTAGGAATAGAGTCAGAATACTCCTTATAAGAACTAGGGTATTCCTCCTATGAACTAGCTTTTAGGAGTGAGTTAGGCTCAAGTTTCTTAACAATCTCATTCATTTCTGCTGAATGCTTGGGTTTTCCCTTCTATAGGCACTGCTTGCTCTTTGTTCTGATGAATCAGCCTCTGCCAAAATTGCCCTTGACTTGTGCATTAATCAAATGAAGAATGTCTTAAGCTCTCAGCAGTTGCCTGAGAATGCATCTATGGAAACAATTGGACGAGCATATCATGCCACAGAAACATTTGTCCAGGTATTTAATGGGAATATATTAATCTATTATAAGATTTTTATTGGTGATTAATAATGATGGGTCACTATGTTTATTTGCTCAGGGGAGATGACAGCATCGTTGTCATTTTCCATCATTAGAACTTTGCTTGTAATATAACATGCAATTATTCTAATGTTGCATTTGCAGGGTCTACTTTATGCCAAGTCCCTGCTAAGAAAGCTCACTGGTGGTAGTGACTTGCCAAGTAATTGGGAAAGAAATAGAGATGCTGATGACACATCATCTGATGCTGGTAGCTCTAGTGTGGGTAGTCAAGCCACAGATGAGCTATCCGAAGTCTTGTCACAGGCAGATGTTTGGCTGGGACGTGCAGAGCTACTTCAAAGCCTTTTGGGATCAGGGATTGCTGCTTCTCTTGATGACATTGCTGATGGAGAGTCGTCTGCCCATCTTTGTGACAGGTTGGTTGTGGAGGAAAGGTACAGCATGGCTGTGTATACTTGCCGAAAGTGTAAGGTAGACAAATCACCTGCCTGCCTTTTATTTATTTGAATTGATATGTTTAGTTATTATGGGTTTTAAATAAAGAATATTGCCTTTCTTTAGATTGATGTTTTCCCAGTGTGGAATGCATGGGGTCATGCATTGATTCGGATGGAGCGCTACGGACATGCTCGAGTGAAATTTAAGTATGTGAAACTCTTTTTTGGGGGATAATGCTTTAGCTCAGTCATTATTACAGTTTTGAATCATTTGTAGTGACAGGACTTGAGCACAGTTAAATAGTTATATATCTCATATATTTATATTTCATTTCAGGCAAGCTCTTCAGTTGCACAAGGGTGATCCTGGACCTGTGATTTTAGAGATTATTAATACAATTGAAGGTGGCCCACCAGTTGATGTTTCTGCTGTTCGTTCTATGTAAGATATCATGCATTTATGATCGTTGTCTTTTTGCTGTATTGTAACAGGATTTTTATTTTTATAAAGACTATAAGCTGGACCAATTGTGTTCAAGAGTCGAGAATATCTCTAATATTTTATATTAAATCTTTGCATTGTTTTCCTCATTTGAATTTATGTCCTTTTTATCTTTTGGTTGAAGATCTTGTAAAGACAGTTAGATAATCAAGTTTCTATGGTGAGACTTGTTGATATTTCTTGTCATGAACAAGATGGTTGGGTAACTAGATTTTTCAGAGGTTGCTGCTCATTGTGCACCCAATTGGGGCAGTTTAGGTTAGATATTTTGAGCATAAAGTTATCTGAACCACAAACCTAAATGTTTATGCTTTGACTTCTGGCTGGTAAAGCTGGTTAATTATTTGGAAGTATTTCTCGCAAATTTTCTGGAATAGCAGGAAAAGGAGGGAAATCAATGGGGGAAAAATAGGGACTGAAGACACCTTTAGATCTTAGTCATTTTACAGAAATAATCTCTGATTACATTTCTGCTTCAGGTATGAACACCTAGCTAGAAGTGCACCTACAATCTTGGATGATTCTCTTTCTGCTGATTCATATCTCAACATCTTATACATGCCATCAACATTTCCCCGTTCAGAGAGGTCAAGACGATCACAAGTGTCTGCAAATAATAATTCTGTATATAGTCAAGACTTTGAAGATGGTCCTCGGAGTAACCTGGATAATGTTAGATACACTGAATGTGTTCATTACCTACAAGAGGTGAGCATAACTCCATTTCTGCAAATAATAGGCTTATGAATGCTCTCATAACTTAGCAATTTGCAATCTATTGTTAATTTAAATAGCTGTTCATCAGTTTGAAGAATTTATATCATAAGTCTCTGTATATTTTTCTGCATTTCATTATTTTTAAACAAAAAAAAAAGGTTTTAGTTACAATTAATGTTTTTGTAATATATATATTTTGTATAATCTAATTATCTATATATGTTCAGGATGCTTTTAACTTTTGTATAATCTAATATATATATTTTTTATTTCCTAATTGTTTAAAATTTTGCAGTATGCACGCCAGCATTTGCTTGGTTTTATGTTTAGGCATGGTCACTACCATGACGCTTGCTTCTTGTTCTTTCCTCCTGATGCTGTCCCACCACCACCACAGCCATCAATCATGAGTGGAGTGTCTTCTTCATCACCCCAAAGACTAGATTCTTTGGCCACTGATTACGGAACAATGGATGATCTGTGTGAATTGTGCATTGGTTATGGTGCTATGCCTATTTTGGAGGAAGTCATTTCAACTAGAATGTCGTCTAGTAAATCCCAGGATCCAGTGGTGAATCAGTATACAGCAACAGCCCTTGCCCGTATCTGCCTCTATTGTGAAACTCACAAACATTTTAATTATTTATACAGGTTTCAGGTAAATTCTCTATTTAATCAGGTGCTATAAAATTGGAAGCAAGGCTAAAACTATGAAGTAACTTTTTTATACCTTTGGAGATAATTGGGTCTGCCCATTTTTGTTTCTTGGCTTCTTTGCAGAGTTTTTATTAACCATCTCCTATGAATTTTGGAATACTTTAGTTAAATTTAGGAGCCGTCCTTGTCAATGGATAAATGTCCTCTTGTTTTTCAGAACACTAAACCTAACCAATGTTTGGCCTAAGGATGTAAAACACATTTAATAAATTTATTAGAAATAGACTGCGGCCTTAATTTATTCATAAAAGATAGGTCATAGCTCAAAGGAGTAGAATTGCTCAAGTTTTATAAGGAGTATTATGGTCAAATTCTTAACTACTATGAAACATCTTACTATAACCCTTCATACCTACAACTAGACATCTGAAACATGAAGTATAACAAGTTGGACATTTGCGGATGAGACAACTTAAGACTGATAAGCTCCGAAACTGTTTTAGAAATTAGACATAGATCGGTTCTAACTCACTCTCATAACCAAGCTGAAAGGAAGATAATAATCCAAGTCCTAGAAGAAGTATTTCAGTCATATTCCTAGCCAAAAATCTTCTTAGAATCAAACTGATTTCTTGCTGATTTGACCAGTTTTTACATACTGTCCTACCCAGCTTGATATCCTCTAGTTCTTTCTGTTTAACAACAGTGAGTGGCCCCGATCCTCTATCCACCAAGATAGAGAATTCTTAAGATGCATCCATCCATTAAGCTCTAACCAAATACTCCTAAAAAATTTGTAAAAATGCATAAACATTTGGTCTACGCAATAACTTTCCTCCATATTCCTTATGTACACAGCCTTACCCCAATGAGCAAAGAGATTGTTTCCACAACTAGAACCCATGTCTACTAAGTCACAAGGCAGCAGCCTTATCGTTGCACCAGATTTTCCATATTGACTAGGAATAGAGTCAAAATATTCCTTATAAAGACTTGAATATTCCTCTTATGAGTTAACTTCTGGGAGTGAGTTAAGTTCAAGTTTCTTAACAAGTACAATACTTGTTCTATTAGATTAGACATAAAATTATCAATATACAATGACAGAACCTAATACTCTCCATAAAGTCTCATTCTGGATGTTAGAAGCATCTGGTTAAATGCTAAAACAAATGACCAGAAATTACAAACTTTGTGCTATGCTATATTGACATATTCAAAGGAGATGCTTTTATGTAGCCTTTTAATATGTCCACCAAGTCATTAGTGTTGATCCCTATGCAGTTAGAGAAAGGGAGGTTGCAAAACAAATACACAGTTCAATTTAGCAGAACTGAGTTTAAGATCAATATTCAACCATTAGGCTGCCCAATGCCATTAGTAGTCCTCTTGTCAATATTTATATATTTTAAATTGGTTATTACTTTTCTCTGTAATTAACACCATTGTCATAATAGCATTAATATCTATTGTAAATCCAAATATAATGATTGCATAACTTATATTTCCTGCATGGAACAAAATTTTTCATAAATACATGGCACTGTTGAATATAATATGTGATAACATTTTAATTTTTCTGTGGGAGATGTTTTTGGTTTTGTAATGATCTTCAATATTCAGGTAATTAAAAAGGACCATGTTGCTGCTGGACTCTGTTGTATTCAGTTGTTTGTTAATTCTTCTTTGCAAGAGGAAGCCATTAGACATTTGGAAAATGCTAAGGTATGTTCATAATTTGCATAAAAAGGTAGCGTGGTAGCTTTTGAGCACGCTCAAGACATTTACGCTTATTTTTTATTCAAGATATCAATAATAATAGGCTTACTTTTGGTAAAGGAACTTTTGTTTCCAAGTTATATTCATATAAGCCTGGGAATATTGAATTCTATGACTGTTTTTCTTTCTTTATGTTTTGTTTTGAGTGCTTGTTGCATGAAAGGATATTAAATTTAAAGAGCAGAAATGATTAAGTTGATATGGGTTGAAGTGATTTAGAGTATAGTTACAATACAAGGCATACTGTGGAATGTTGGTTCATTGAAGACTAATTCATGGATGAGGATACAGTTGGCTGATCCACTTTTTTTATTCTATAACTATTTGTTGGTAACATAAATGAAGGTTGAGTTGATTTGATATACCGATATGCATTTACTATGCATTTGAAGCAGATTTGTACTTCAGGAAAGATGGAAGAAATTGAATCACTATGTTAATTCCTCACCATTATCCATAACAATTGATATGTTAATATCTCAATATGCATTTTAAGATTTAAGATAAAATTGATTGGTGAAGGTCCCATAAATTAGAATACAAGTACTTAATCCATGAGTGAATAATTTGTAGTAGTCTCATTAGACCACACAACTTTCTTGGTATATCCAAATAGTAGATACGAGCTTGAACCAAAACATTTTGAAGTTACAAAGTTATGAAATTGTTAGCGCCATTAGATTGCCATGAGATGTGACAAAGTGAACAGTGGTCAAGAGCAGGAAACTTTGAAAGTATTAGAAGAAAGGATAATCTTTTTCTCTTTGACTACTTTCTTTATTGACATACTAAATTAAAAAAAAAAAGCCTTCAACTGTTATCCTTGGATCCTTGTGCATCTGTTAAAAAAACATACAATTAATTGTTAAAAGACATAGTACATTAATTATCTTAAATTTGTTTCACTTATGCAGTTTTTTGTTAATAATTCTGTTTTTTGCTTATTGGTGTAGATGCATTTTGATGAAGGGTTGTCTGCAAGGCACAAAGGTGGGGAATCTACCAAGCTTGTCACAAAAGGTCTTAGAGGAAAAAGTGCCTCCGAAAAGCTTACCGAAGAAGGCCTTGTCAAATTTTCTGCTAGGGTATCAATCCAGGTAATTGAATATATCCAAATCCAATATTGAGATCATAGTGTTTTAATAATCAATTTCCGAGAACAAGTTTGGAAAGTCAATTTTGTAACTTAATGATATTATTAGAGAATTCCCTTGACTATGATAATGGACATTATTATGCCCTTGAAAGAACATGCAAATATTATGTTGCAAAGCTCTGATTTGACAGGGCATTACCTCTTACTAATAGTCATTTAATATATTCTGATTAATAGTTGCTTGTGAAATTTATTTTTATACTGATTTGTTGTATTTTGCAGGTTGAAGTTGTTAAATCCTTTAATGACTTAGAAGGACCGCAATGGAAACATTCACTTTTTGGGAATCCAAATGATCCTGAAACTTTTAGGTTTGTTTAAATAACATATATATATAGCCCTTTTTGACTTGGAGTGGACCATAAGCCCACCCTACTTTGTGCTGAAATTAACTTTTTATTTAGAGAATACTCGTGACCAAGTATCATAGGGCTTTGATACCATGGCATAAAGCAACTATCCCAAAAGCTCAAGTTGTTTAGTTAAAATACATAGACGGTTATATATTTAACATGATCCATGGACAAAAAGTATTTAGATGGAGGATTTAGAACAACTTGTAATTTATTTCTTCCATCTCAAGTGTTTTTTTAAGCCATTTGATAACTTTATGGTCTCTATTATCATTGTAGTCCACTTAATGACTGCTAAGGTTTGCCGTTGAAGATTATTTGGATTTCTCCACTATCCTTATTGCATGCATTCAGATGCTTTCCTATTGTGACGTGTATTGTTTTATATGTCAATGTATGATGAATGCTCATAATGTTTTTAAAATTTCAGACGAAGGTGTAAAATTGCAGAGGTTCTTGTTGAGAAGAATTTTGATTTAGCTTTCCAAGTGATCTATGAATTCAGTCTTCCTGGTAACATTGATTTTCTTCTTTTTAAATTTGGTCTTCCTGGTAAAGTTTAGCTAAAAAAAGTGTTATCAGCTTACCCATGTCTTTTAATTGTGTCATGCAGCTGTTGATATATATGCTGGTGTTGCTGCATCTCTTGCTGAAAGAAAAAGAGGCAGCCAATTGACAGAATTCTTTAGAAACATCAAGGGGACCATAGATGATGATGACTGGGACCAGGCAATCTACTTACATTTTATTTTTCTTTTCTGCTTGAAAAAAAAAACACGTTTTTAATTTATTTGAAAGTAAAAAAAACTGCTTATAGTTAGAAACTTAACAAAATTGAGAATGTTGCCACCACTAGCTAGTTTTTGTAGGTGACGTTGATGAGAACTTTTACCACCAAGGGGCTTACACCCTAGGGCCTAACCCTGCCCTAAACCCTAACCCTAGGGCCTAAGCTTAAACCCTAGCCCCTACCCCTAACCATAGGGCTTAAACCCTAACGATAGGGCCTAACCATAAACCCTAACCATATGGCCTAACTCTTTCCCTAAGGTTTAAACCCTAATCATATGGCATAAACCCTAAATCATAAGGCCTAAATCCTAAATCTTAGGGCTTAAACCCCAATCATAAGCCCTAGGGTCTAACCCTTACTGTAAACCTAAACCCTAGAGTTTAAACCTTAATCCTAAACCATAGGGTCTAACCCTAATTATAAATCTTAAACCATAACCATAAGGTTTAAACCCTATCTCTAAACCTAAACCCTAGTATCAAACCCTAAATCTTAACCCCTAGACATACATCGTAGGGTCTAAACCCTAGCCTTAAATCATTAACCCTAACCCTACTATAAACCTAAACACTACAGTCTAGACCCTTGGCCATAACCATAGGATTTAATCACTAACCCTGAATCATAAACCATAAACCCCCTAGGATTTAAACCTAAATCATAACCATAGGGTCTAAACCTAACCCCTAACCCTAGGGTCTAACCCTATTCCTAAACCCTAATCTTAGGGGTCTAAAACCCTAATACTAAAAACTTAGGGTATAAACCCTACCTGCTAAACATTAAAAACTCTAAACCCTGAACCATATTTATCCCTTTTTATCATCTCTCATATCCAACAGCCCTTTTCTACTGTTTGGTCCATCTATCTGTTTCTTTCCTCTCCTGTAAGTGTTGATCAATGGCCCATCACACCACTAGTTTACTATATTGCATTTAATTATTGTTTTGTTTATAAGCTTGCTTCTTTTTAAATTAGCATCAAAGGGAGGTTGTTGCATGTATAGAAATAGCGATGGGGTTTATATTATCAAAACTGGTAATTAATTTAAAATGTGCCTTCTCGAACTCATCTTTTGTCCTGTAACTGGGAAAAAGAGTCTTCATATTTATAACAAGTGAACTTATCTTTACGAAATATTAAGCAGCTAAAACATTTTGAATGGTGTAGGTCTTGGGTGCTGCAATAAATGTATATGCCAACAAGCATAAAGAGCGCCCAGACCGTCTGATCGACATGTTAACTAGCAGCCACAGGTGAGGGCTTTATCAAGTTGTCTTCGTGCACTTCCTAATTCTCTTGTTATGTGAGTTTTTTATAGAATTTTTTTTGATAGTTTTTATCAATCATTATTCATTCACCACCAAATTATATTTGGATATCTTACATCTACTGTTATTTTTTTTTTATCATTACTCAAAAGAGATTTAGATAGTGGGGGCTCAAATGCTCAATACATGATGTCACGTGCCTTCCACATTGCTTTTTCTTTGTAGCAATTCAGTAACCACTCTATATGTTTATTTTAATTTTGAAATGGGCATGCAGGAAGGTTCTTGCTTGTGTTGTTTGTGGTCGTTTAAAAAGTGCATTTCAAATTGCTTCACGGAGTGGAAGTGTGGCTGATGTTCAATATGTTGCTCATCAGGTTAACTTTCTATCAACTTCAGCTTCCACAATAAGATTCATTTCGTTGTAACTCCCCAAATGGAATTAATTAACCGATCAGTTGTATTCAATAACACTGCTGAGTGAGGCTTACAAATTTACTATGAATCCTAACCTATAGAAATGCATAGCAGCTAGGATTCAAAGCCCTACATATTCTAAACACACTTCTTCAAACCAAGGCTATCATATAGCTTTCTAATTCTAATGATAGCAAATCTGCATTAAATCTACTGGGAAATTGAATAGTTGGAGATTCTGGTAAGCCTAATCTGTGCCCCCTCAAGGCAGGGGCTCAGCTTGATGCACCCTACTAGTGTCACATGGATTATCTAATATTTAGCCTTGTTTCCAATCCGTGATTCCATCATATGACAAGCCTCTTTAGTTTTCCATTTTTATGCGCACATCATATGACAATTTAAGATAAACTTCTATGGGCTCTACTTGGTTGCTAGTCCAACTACATTTGTACTGGACTTCTATGGGTTGTAACATATCAGGGAAGCCTCCTGTAACTCTCTCTCCACCATTGCTCGGCATTTCTAAAGAGAGATTCACATTTTACCTTTTTAAAAAAATTAACAATTTTAAGGTTATTCCTCTGATTTCTGTTTTTTAAGTATCTAACATCTATTCAGTAATCACCAGAGGGAATTCCTATGTCTCTAATTCTAAGTAATAAAGGAGCAAATGTTTCAAAACTCCTTGGAAAGAACCAATGCCATATTCAATACCTAGTAAATTCCATACCTAAACTTATCCCTTCTCTAGTCTTTGGATTTTATGACCAAAAGGAAAGTGATTGATGGCTTAACCGAAGGACAAGAAAATACTTTAATTGCAGAATAGTTGGCATATCCTTAAGTTCCTAACTTACCTACAGCCCTATGGCTATTAATTGAGAAAAAAATCATTTTTTTTTTCTTTGTTTTGACGGGTCCTCCCACTCCTGTTATTTATTAGGGATGCTAACACTTGCCCTAGGGTTATCAGTGCCACCTGGATGTTAGATATCAAAAACTTCCTTTTTTTTTCGGTTGTAAGCTTGACATAGTGTTTCATTATCACTACTGCTTTCATGCCCTGTAAACGTACATTTTTGCTAATAAACTCTTCAATTTCTCTTACCTTATTTTCAATCTGGCAGGCACTGCATGCAAATGCACTTCCGGTGCTTGATATGTGTAAGCAATGGTTGGCTCAGTACATGTAATCTATTACTAACAGAATCTAAGATTGTCCAACAGGCTTCTTTTGGCCTATTGATGCACTAGTTGTCCAGAAAACTGGTGTTAGATCATTGTCATTTCTCAAGGGAAGTGGAACGAACCAAAGCAATGTGAATCAAGCATTAACTGTAAATATCAAGATTTCAGTTTCTGGATTTGCTGAAGCGGTTTTCTTGGTCTGAGGTATATACAAACTAACGTCCGAGTTGGTCCAACATGTGTGTGGTACTGCTACCGTTACCAGGTTTGAAAGATTAGTAGAGAAAAATCATCACATGGCCTAAGCAGAAATTGCTGAAATTTTATCCTCGAATCTCACTGAATTTGGGACCACCTGAATGTCAACGATGATGGTGCGCCAAGTTGTTAAACACTCAATGGTCTCTTTGGGCCAACGGAAATTACTCTTTAATATAGCATCAGAAAGTAGAATTCTACAATTTGTAGCATAATATAGATGATTTAGAATAGAAAAATTGTACATGAATTTTGAGCATTTGTCAATGTATCAAAGTTAGTTGTTGTAAAGGTCATTATTTTGATTGTGTCACTCGATAAATCATATGATATCAACGTTATTGATCATAAGGCGGATCATGTTTCGATTGATCTGCTCATTCAATTATACTTGTCTTTGTCGTACGGTTGGTTAGGCCAGCTAAATCACCCACAAATTTATAAATAAAAGGAAACTAAAATGTTTTACTAATTTTTAAAAAATAAAGCATGTAGACCATTAAAGCTAAGAGATTTAAAATTTCTATAGTGAATAAAGATGTCTTCCCTTTTTCAATGAACACATTAGCATATAACCTATTCTTATCAATGTCCCTAAGAGAAGAAAATTAAGTAAAATTGTGGAGAGGAAATTTAGAATGAGAAGGGTCGCAGTAAAGATCTTGAAAATACCTAAAAGAAAAATATTTTTTAGTTTTAGGAGATCATATTCTTAGTTATTATTTTCATTCTTTAAGGCTTTAATTAAATTTTTATGTTTGTAAAATAAGGCAACTTTATGAAAAAAAAATAGTATTCCTATTTCTTAGAGTGATTCAATTGACTTTATAATAATGATACCAAAAATACTTTTCATGATTTAGAAATTATTGGTAAATTTTCTGGAAGGAATTCATGAGATTAGTCATTAAACCTTACAAGAAATACTCTCTATATAATTAAAAATATACTTTTTTCTATTAAAAATATAAGCAAAAATATTTTTATTTTAATAAAATATATTATTTTTAGTCCAAAACTATATCTTAATAAAAAAAAATTAATCTAGTTGGAAAAATTACTATAGATTACTTGGGAGCTAAAAATTTAAAAGTTTTAATTTTATGTCAGATACTCTAACTTTTTATTTTTACCCAAAGATCAACATGGTCTAATTTTAAAATGGAAATGTGAAGGAAAGAGTGTTATGGAATAAAAGACGCCAAATATCATTAGCAACAACCCTATATAATATTTTCTTTAAGTCCTATATAAAATTACTTCTTTTATAGTTATTTCTTAAATCATGTCGAAATTTGTTCATTAAGAAAAAAATTCTTTATTATTATATTTCTCTATGATATCCTTCTTAACTTCACATACATTTGCCTTCTCAAGCTAAGAGTTATCCATTTTATCCATCCCATCTTTCTCTATTTAGGAATAACTTTAATTTTATCTAAACAGCCTATTTTTGGGTCAATAGTATTTTTATTATTAAACTTAGTGTTAGTAAATTCACTCGATTGTGAACTATTCTCACAACCTCTATTATTATTATTATTATTAACATGATTACTATGTTCAAATATCCCATCCTGTCCCAGCTGAAATTCATTGTTATCTAATACATCAAACCTAGATACTAAGGTTAACTCCTTGCCTTTCTCACAAAGGTTTGGGTTATCAACTAAAACGGAATTGTCCTAATTTTGTTCTCATATGCTTTTTAGCAAACATCCAATGCTAAAATCTGATTTGCTCATCTATTGAATTATTCCTATGATATACCTCATCTCACATATATTAAGTTGATTAACAGACCCATCTTCTTCCTTAATAGGCCTAGGTTCTATATTATTCTTACAAGATTTAAGAGTATTTATACATTACTCCTGTTTATAGCCATATTTTTCACAAGAAAAGCAGATGATGTATAACGTTTCATATTCTACCTTAAATTCATGCTACAATGTTCAACATAGATTCTACCAAATCTACCATTAGACAATAAAGAAGTATGAGATCAATTTTTAGCATTAAACTCAGGCAACACCCACCTACCATAGGAATTTCTCATTATAAAACTCTAAAGAAAGATTAGAGTCCTTAGGGATGCACATCCAAGTAGCTATTTTCCTAATATCCTGATCTTTCGGCCTAAATAGAGGCCTCCACCTTTGGACCATCAGATGATGATCTAAAATGAGTTGAAACCCTTCAAAAAGAGTTAGCTTATTATTTTCTATGTTATCAAATTTTACTAAGAAGAAGTCATTCTTTGGATTTAGAATCTTCAAGAAAATATTCTTTTTCCCGTATTTTTTCTAGTTTTTTATTTAGGTAATTAAAATTAAATGACCTTCCTAACAGTTTAACTATTAGGATTAGCTTCAAAGAGAACAACATTATTCATAATCTTCTAAAAGTATCCTAAGTTTTGGATATAAATCTTAATTACTATAAGTGCTTATTACCCTAAGTACAAAGACTCTATAATAAACTCTAATAGTGATCATTCAATCAGTCTTTAGTATTAGAGAAAATATTGAACTATTTCAAGACTGATTAAATGATTTCTTCATTCCAAAGAACAATATTAAAATATTTAAATTCTAACACTTTATCCTTATACTAGATAAAAGAGGGAAGATCATGTTTAAAAAATATGTGCTTTAGAGTGTTCTATCTCACTTTCAGTCGCTTGAGTGACAAGCTTTCTAAGGTAGAAACTCCTCGTTGTCCTGCTATGATGTTTCCTAGGTCTGGCAATGCCTCTCAAGCAAAAGGGAGCTAAGGGTTTGAAACTTCACTAGAGTCTAGCAACTTTTTCCTTTTCAAGAAAGTAAGTTTTGAACATTCTAAAAATTATATTTTAGTACAAGACTCAAGTTGTACTTTGATTAATTATATTTTATTTTTATTAATTAAAAATTTTAATTTTATTGTTTACAAAAATGATAAAAATTAAAGTGACTGATCTACTCCAAAATGCAAATGATTAATTTGGTTTAGTGTGATTTTCGTATTGTTTTTAACTTAATTCAAATAAAATCATAATTTTATGTTATAACAGTTCGGATGATATTTTTACTCTGTAAATACTCCTGTTCACAAGAGGTTTCGGAGATTAACTTCTAAAATATACTTACATAGATGACCCAAGCGGCGGAGCTAGTTGTACATGTTTTGTATGAACAAGCATGTAATGCACCTACCCCTTGTTGTATGACTCTTCAATGTACCTTCATTGTTGTTGTGACCTCTTGTACTCATTCATAGTTTTGCACGAATTTTTTTACCGTGCTAGTGCCAAAGAAACCAACAGGGGACTACAAAACCAAATCTCCAATTTGTGATCCACATATCACGGTTGTTTGTGGTTGTCTTTCAATCAAGGTTCCAAGTTTAAGGAGTAAAATATATTCAAATGATTTAAATCAACAATATGAATCTAGGTTGTCCGTGAGGAACGGTAATCTTTAAGAGCAATGAAGATAGTTTCTTGATTTCCCTTTCCGTGCGTAGATTCTCTCGAAGAACCTCCTTGCTTGCCAGGATAAAAGTCGGTTAACAAGCTAATGTGGGCAGCTCACCTACAGGTGTCAGGGAGGACCTGATTTTCTTAATAGTAAATAGATGATAGAGAATGCCATTGTTCAAACATAAGAGATGAGGTTTAAATAATCCATAGAAGAAAACAAGAAGCCCGTCGAAATAGTGTAGTTTGTTTTTTACGAAGACCCTCAAATTATAATTTGGACAAAAATCGCAGAAGAGAAATTCTGGCTCATAATTGTAATTTGAGCCTTTCCCTCAAACTATAGATTGACCGAACTGCACTGAGGACTTCTGTCAAAACCTTGGATCACCTACATCTCTTCTTTCCATATACAAAGTTATCATTATGCGTAATTATTTCATTATTTTATATCGATATATTTAAAATTTGTTTGATTATTGAATTAATAAAAATACAGGTTTATGATTTATTAATTCAAGTGTAATTATACTGTGATTGAACCAGTAATATGTGTGATACACACACTATATGTATATATATTAAGAAAAATACTAACCAATGTTCAAAGTCACTAGTTAAAATAGAAATTGTTCATTGAAAAAATTGTAATAATACATATATTTCTGTAATTTTTAATATTATTTATTAGTTTTTTAATTGGTAGAAGAACTATACGATGAGTTCTATATCCTCTAATGATCAAATCAAACAGAGATTAACTAGACGCTGGTCTTTTTGATACGTCACCATTTCAGGCAACACACAATCTTCTTAACCAAACAGGATAAAGATGCACGGCGGTGCTATTTAGTACAGAAGAAATTCATACGAATACTGCACGGATAAACGTGGATGTATTTCATTGGATAAGTAAAAGGTTAAAATAATTTCACTGAAACCAAGGTGTTACTGAAGATGCAATGTATGAAATGAAATATGTAGAATGATACCCTGGTGCATTTTAATCTCTGTTAAGCATGTCAAGAACAGCATAAGCAGCTTTTTGAAAGTGATCCTTCTCTTCATCTAAGGTTCTTTTCCTTTCGAGAGCAGTACTTTTACTTTTCTCTATCTCTTCCTCTATCACTGCAGAGTTTTGATTAATTTCACTACAAAAACGAAGCACAAATAATCACAAACTTCGATCTGAAAGCATAACAAATAAATAGTAATTATACAAATAAAATGGAAAATAAATCGGTAAAATGAATAATGATGATTAGAAAGCTAACGTGATCGTCTTAAGCATGTTCTCCATGATCGCTTGAGCTTCGTTTGATATGTCTGTACGGTTTAGCCGAATAATCAGAATTCAAAGGAAACACACAGAAAATAATTCAAAAACCAAGCGAGCCATGCATTGCTTGAAATTTAAAATCAATTTAGTTCATCACAAGAGAAAGATCGCATCGCTTGTGATTTGAATAAGCGATTAGGTTTAGTAATTGCAGTGAATTTTAGAACTCAAGTTTTGCGAATGCTGATGGATTATTCCGATGGAAGATTGAAGGAATGGTTATGGCTCACCGTAGATGAGAGAGGAAAGGTTGTTTTCTGGTTCTATCTGTGGAGGTGCTGATTCTAACTCCGCCATCGATCTGAACCTTGCTTCGCTTGGGAGCGAAATGACAAACAATACGCGCGCTTTCCCTGTTCTTTGAATTTGTGAAATGTATATACAAAGGAAAGAAAACGGAAACTGTTTAATTAATTAATTTAATATTATCCTTTTTCCTTTTTACCCTATTGGGTTTCATTTTGTTAAGGCCAGCTTGTTTAGTAATTGTTGCTTTTAAATTTAATTTTTAAAAGTATGTTTACTGTATTTTAGAAACTAGATTTTAAAAGTTATTTATAAATTATTCTCAGAAATTAATTCTAAGAAGTATAAAATTACTTTTTGAAATTTATTTTTCAAAAATACTTTATAAATAATAAAATTTAATTTCTAACATATATTAAATATACTTTAATTTAAAATTCAATTTTAAATAAGAAATAGGTAATTCAACTAACAAGAAATAATCTTCGTCTCACAACAAAACTCTCTTGGTTCATTACTAATGATGACAAAAAGCAGAGAGCCTTGGACCAGAAAAAGAAAGGCAGAAAGCCTTCTAATGCTAAAAAAGTGATATTCCAGTCCGTAAGGATATGGCTAACATTTATACATCTTAAACGTTCTTGGAAATAAATTCAAAGGTTTACTTGGCCCCAAATCACCAAGTAGATAGAAATTAAATATTCTACTTTCCTCCAAATATTTAATTTGAAATCTAAATGCCAACTCCAAATTTACATTTCTGCCACATAAATATGTGGCATTGGAACAAAAAATCTAATAAATTACTAAATCCCAAGATTACTTGAGTGGCACCCTTTCATGTTCACGTGTATTCATCACTAAACCGACGGCAGTGCTCACCAAACAAAACAAATTGGCTTAAAATAATACTGCGTTTCATAATCCCCTGCAAGAATTTTTTGGTACTTGGGAACATAGGAGGCCTCGCATAGACGGGAGAGAAAATGATAGCACCAAAAGATTAATATAAATTATACAAGATGATGACGACACAAAATTATTTATTTCATTCTTAAATGATGAAGTGGTCGTTAATACATTAATATTCATTTCGTGCCATTTACCATATGTGTCTGGTAAATGTCCAACACATTTATGTTTGTTTAATTAAGACCGATAATGTAGGAGGTCTTTTATTACGGATTTATTAATTTTTGTCTACGAGTACATGGAAAATTTATCAAATTTATTAAAAATATATTTATTATAGAAACTATTTTTATAAAATGTTATTGTAAAATATTTTTATATTAGCTATTAACTAATTAAAAATTATTATAGATATAATTTTAAAAATAATGGTTATTAAAGTCAATATTTTCAATGATAAAATAATTCATGGTTATATATATAAGTACAATTTAATTAAATTTTTAATTATATTAAAAATGTAAAAGCTATTAAACAATTGCTTTGTTAAGATGTGCTGTATCAATTAAAATACTTTTTATGAAACTTAAATTAATAACATTTTTTTCTGTTGAATTTTAAGGTTGAGTTAAAGCAATTTTATTTTTAATTTGCTCTTTTATGAGTGACTCCAAAGCTGTTTTTTTTTTTTTTCAATATAAGTTGTTTTAAGTGAGAGACTGAGAGAGTGTGTGTGGAAGAGAATTTCAGTTTAAAGAGAACCAATCAAACAAACAATTTTTAAAATAATAGAACCACGTATTTTTCACTAAACATTATGGTTCGGAGAGGCCTTGGAAGATGGAACACCTATCCAAACAACCAATAATTTGTAAATAAAACTTACATTACATTCTATAAACTAAGGTTTTGGGTAAGCTGCCTATAATCTAAACATGCACAAACAAGCATAGGCTAACCAAACTCTACCAACAAACTTCTCTCTTCATGCACTTGCTAACTCTATTCTCATAGTCATGTATCCTCCATTCTTTTGTGTTTTGTGCCTTGGTCAATAGTCGTATCTTATCGAGTGAACAAGTACGGAATTGTCGTTCGAGACAAGATATACGGAATCGATCATAAAATATCCATTACCATCTAAATATTATTAATACGTACGTAGAAAATTTCTTACATTAGACTGTCTATACGCAAGATAGATAGGTCCTTTATGGGTACCTTAGCTATCTAGGTTTGTAGGTAGCTGTTTTCATTGGTCGATTGACCGCGTGCATGTGCGATCCATGGTCGTGGATGTTGAACCGTGCACTGTTTGCATCGTCCTTGGATCAAGTTCCCTTTCCGCATAGTCATACACCTTCCAAATTAAATTGCCCTGCCATATTCAAAAAGGCCTCGAGCGAATTTGGAGCATTTAAAATTAAAAGAAGGCATTTGTTGTTCTTTGAGAAATTATATTTTTATAATATTTCTCTTTTACAGATTAGAGCAAGATTAAAAAAAAAGAGAGAAATGATTTATTAAATAGATAACAAAATAAAAAAGAAAAAAATATATTACTCTTTTTTTTTTTACATGGAATTTGAGAGGTTGAATATACAACAAGAGAATGCCACAGAAAAGCTTCAAGGGAACAGCATAAAGGAGTGGAAAATTTAACAATTTATTATTTAAATAATCAATGGCTGTTATTGTCAATCTCGTGACAAAATAGTGGTATTTTCACTGTTCTGTGAGAGCAACGACAAAGAACAGGAGAGATTTATGTAACGTGATTATGTGATAATTATTAAAAAAAGAAAACAGGAAGAGTGGTACTTGTAATTCTAGCTCTGGAAATGCATAAATTAGAGAATAAGTGTGTTTTAATTTGTGTTAAAAATTATAAATATAGATAATACAGAAAATAGAATTAATAAATTTAAAATAAACACAAATTAAAAAATATTTAAACTGAAATCAGGAATTAATTAAAACCGAAAGGAAAGAGAAAAAAAAATTAACAAGTCTCAACAAACACGCCACTCGTATTATAACACGTGCGCTGGGTAGTGGGTCAGGGATTGCATAAAAAAGCTGCACAATAAAAGATAAAAAAAAAAAATCAGTAGCAAAAAATAAAAGAAAAAATGCCATCATTGTAAAAGAATCTTGCAAGGAGGAGCGTTGGATGATATAGAGATGAGAGATGAAGCACACACGTGCCTGGCTTCTGTTCTCTCTCTTTCTTACTGGGTACTAAAATCATGAAAAGTAGCGTCACAGAAAACGACAACAAGGACTGAGCATCTTAAAGTTACAATGGCCATACAAAAACCTATGCTTACTCCATGGCAAGCCAAGCCACTTCAAAGTTAAACATGGTTAATTGGTAAGGTGAATTTTCTCTCACCAGGAAATGGGAAGGTGGATATGTGCATCAACAAATGCAACCCATTTTACCAATTATTTTGGATTTATTCATACATTTTATATAAATTAAAAGTAAGTAATTATACTATAATTATATAATATGATAGACCTAATCAAAATTAAAATAACATTTCTCTTATTTACCTGTACATAATAATAATTGTAGGAAAAATTAGCTTGTAGCCCTGAGATGTGTATATCATTTTTAAGGACATATTAAAGTAAAATTTAACTACTGGATTATTTAATTAATAGGCTAATTCAAGGATGTTCAGACAATTTATTTGTTTTTATTTTTCATGTAAACTCATCCGTTATTTTTGTAAAATAAATTCATGTAAAAATTTATTTATAAAAAATAAAATTTTCAAGTATTCTTAAGTGTATTTGAATAAAAATATAACCTTTTTAATCCTAATTTAAAAAATATTTTTTGGTAAAGTCACAATAATAATCTACAAATCATCTATACATTTAAAAACATTTCACCTTTTTAATATAATTTAAATATTTTAAATGACATATATATTTATCCTTCTAAGTAAGTTGTTTGTACAATTTTATTAACATATATAATGTAAAATATGATAAAATTTATATATATTTTTAAATTATTTATATTACTTGCAAATAATCTTAAACTTCAATCTATGGAAAGTTGTTATAATTTAATATATGATTTTTAATTTTTAATTTTATTAAATATAATTATATTAAATATTTAAATGAATAATTTTATTATTCACGGTAACCCTATTTAATTTGAACAATATTATTTTAAATAAAAAATTTCTATAGTATAGATAAAAAAACAATAATATTAAAATAATTTTACTTAGCATTATTACTTTAATAAAATTTATTGGATTAAAAATTTAATTTATATTTAGTTTATAAAACCATTAAATACAAAGTTTCAAGAACTTGTTGAATCGATTTTATTTCAATCAGAGATAATGAGAATGCATGCTACTCCAATGAATACTTTAGTAAGGAAGATCATAACTTTTAGACATTTTGCACCCTTGTTTATTTATAGTGAATGCTTAATCTTGCAACAATAGTTTGACTTATCTAACCATGCTTTTTAAAGTTCAATATATTTAAATAAAATACATATATCCTATTTTAAATAAAAGTTGTGAAGAAATAGAATTGATGTTCACATCATAAATTAAAGTTGAAAATGATGTCAAGTTGGTCTGCTGCACAATATCTTAGTATGGGACCTTCTACATGAAAGTTGCATTTTAATGTTATGGCAGTAGACACGAAAGAGCATAGAAAACGTTATCCTCACACATTTATACATATAAAGTTGCAATTCTAAAAAAATTATTACATGACATTTTATGTTTTCAATTTAATTACTTTATTATTATTGTACTTCTATTCTATTTAATTTTTTTAGTTTTTTTCATCTTCATGTGGTTAAAATAATTTTAATAAACTGTTACTTTATATTTTTATATTTTTTCATAATTATTTTAATTAATTTTTATTTATTTACATTCAATTTATTGCTAACTTGTAATCAATTTCATATATATGTTTACGCGCTTTTCATGTTTTTGACTTTTTGATTTTTTTGGTATTTTTCTAGTTATATTTCTAAATTTTAAAATAAATATTTATTAAAATTATATTAATTTTAAATAAATTATAAGAAATATTATTTTATTATAAATATTAATTTTAAATATAATATTTACATATAAAAAATTTAAGATATGTTAATATAAAAAATTAAATTTAAATATTTATAATATTTAATAATTTTTTATAAAATATAAAATTACAATTTAATCGTTCAATTTTATTATGTTATCTTTGTGACAATGATTATCAAATTTTATATAATTTAATATTTATAATAATGTTAAGTAAATTTTAATGTTTATATATATTTTTTATATATTATTTATTAAAATAAAATAATATGATGAAATATTTATTAATTTTTATATATAAAAATTTATAAATTTAATATAAATTTTTAAATTAACAATTAAATCAATCCCCAATAGAAGAGAAATTTCAAACAATATTAAATTATAAAGTACAGTTTTTAATTTAATAAATTAAAGTAAAAAGTGCAAATACACTGACAAATAAAATGCACTTGATCCAAATTTTAATAAATAAATATATTTTAAAAAAATTACATCACAACTTGAATAATATTTTTATATCATATAAATTAATTTTAATTATAAATATTAATTTAAAAATTAAAGTGTGTACACACATGGTACAAAACAAACATTTATTAATATAATTATTGATATTATCACATTAATTTTTTCAGTTAAAAAAATTATAAGAGACAACAAAATTCTCTAACATTACCTAAGATTTAAATTCAAAATTATGAGTTAAATTAAAATGAATTTTACTAATTAATTTACTTAGTCAACAACAAATAAAATTAAATATTTTATCACTTATTTTATTTTTTATATTTTTCACTAATATATAGTTATTTAACTATATACTTTAACTCATAAAATAATACACTTTGCGCTGTATACATTATACATGCATCTATAGAAAATCATTTGTAAAGGCAGATAATTTGACCCTTAACTCCAAGCTAACTTTTTATTTGGTTAAAACTTTCAAAACTTAAAATCAAAATGAAAAGATTTTTCAATAAAAAAGAAAAAAGATTTTCAATTTAATTTAAAGGTCTCTATTGTGTGTACTATAGATAATTAAAAACAGTGCAGTAGTGCAGTGGGTGAGTGTAATTTGGAGCATCTCTTCTCTTCTATTGTGAGGCCGTGTTGTGGGCCCAGTAACTCAGTCAACTGAGCAAGACCGTGACGCATTGTCAGTTCTAATTCAATCATCACAGCCTCTCTTTTGTCGTTTTGTGATCACTCACTCTGTAAAAGCCTTTCACATTGTTCCCTCCCTCTCTCTTCGTTACTTTCTCTTCTGTGCTGCCAATTGATTCATATTTTTGCCACGTAAACAACAATCACACTTTTCTAATATTTTTTTTAAAAAGTGGTGTCTCCTTAATTGATTTAAAAATTATATAAAATTTTTTAATTTAAAATTTAAAAGTATTTTATTAATTTTTATTTAAAAATATATTAAAAATTTGTGAAAATTTTATATATTTTTTCATCATTATTACTTATTTTTAATTTTTATTGAAAATTTAACTTTAACAAATTAATATAAAAATAAATTTATTCTCATACTAGAGCATGTCAACAACGCTTGTATTAATATTTATGTATTACTTAATAATAGTTAATCGTGAAATATTTTTTCACCGCCAATTGGAACATGCCATTGCTAGTTAGATTCGCTTTTAATTTCACATCAAAATACAATGACAAACTGTATTATGGCATTAAATTTCAAATTTAACCGAATGAGGACAAATTCAGTGTCATGAATTTAAATATTTGATGTTTTATACCACTTTTGAGTCGTTAGAAATAAATCTGTAACATTAACACTTGTGGATTTATAATTATATTCTTAATTTTAATTAAAATCATGTCAATTTTTATTTTTTGGGTTAACTATTTTTTTTATTTTTAAAGTGAAGTAATTTTTTTCAATTGTCTTCTTTTATAAAATTTTAAATTTTTTATTTTATAAAAATATTATAAATTAATTATTAAATAAATTTATTTTATTAAAAATTACTAATTAAAATATTGAAAATGGTTTAATTAATTTAAAAAAAAACTATAATTACAAACCTACAATTTTTATCATTAATCTTATATACAAATAATAATTTAATATTTAAAAATTATTTTTTAATGCATCATATTTCTTTTTCACTCATAAATAATTGAACTACTCTACATTTGTTATTATTTCATCACAGACATTAATTAATAGCATCATTTCATCGTATTTTGAAAAAATATATATTGTAAATGTACATTCATATATATATATATATATATTCATATTCATGTTGAAATTTATGGGTGATTCAGACACATTGAGTAAATTCTGCAAGAAAGATTTTCTGTTTGTCCACCCAATGTGCAAACAGTTGTCTAAACTATTTACTGCTAGTTAATTTAATTGAGATCATAACCCTTCACCACATCCATGAATTGTTAATTTGAGTCCTGTTATTACCAAATGTGCTAAAAAAGAAACACCGGTTTAACATGAACCATGGAGCAAAAATGGGGAAAGTACAAACACAAAACAATTCTGTGGGCAGATACAAACAGTGTGGTATAGTACATTTATGAGAGCGAGAGAGAGTGGAGTATTTCAGAAGCTCACTGCTTCGCTGATTTTGAGGCATGCAAGAGAGAGAAGTCGTACTGCACAAGTTTCACACATCTAGTCTTTTTTTTTACTGCATTTGGGTTGAGACTCTTCTTCACACACCCTCCTTCATCTCTGTGAAGTTTCCCCAGCACAGAGAGAAAAAAACTTGGTGGGTTTTTTTTCTTTTCTTTCCGTCAGATTCTTCTTTTTTATGCTACCTTTTTCACTCTCTGATTTCTCTTGCCTCATCACTGGTTATGCCTTGTAGCTGTTTTCATTTTGGTTTTGTTAGTGTGGGGGCTTCACTGGGCTTTTTCTCTCTCTTTCGCACTCTCTCATTCATCAACCATTTTTCATTGTGGTTGGTAATGGTAACTCTGTTTGTACCATTAATCACTCATTTAGCTTTCTATTGGCATAAAAAAAGTTTCTCTTTTTAAAAAAAAAATTCATTTTCCTTTTACTTTTTGCAGTTGGGGGGAAATGAATGGGTTCTGTTTTTAGTTTCTTCATTTGCATGTTTTTTTTTTGGGTCTCTATGGAATCTTGCAATTGAAGTGGTTTTGGGTTTCACCAGGGGGATATGCACCCCCAAAGTTTTGATTTTTTTGCTCAGATGTGGCATTGTTTGTGATTTGAAATGGGTTGATAATTGAATTTATGTGGACAAACCTGGGTTGTGTTGTGCAGGTGATTTGAGATAATGCTGAGGAAGAGGAATAGGTCAGTGCAGAAGGATCAACACCACATGAATCATCCGACAATTTCTGATGCCAATTTGGAGTACTATTCTCAATCTCATCATGCTTTGGGGCGCAACATCATCAAAGGCCACTCAATTTTCAATGTCCCTTGTCTTTTTGTGGGTCTTGGTCCTAAAGGGTTGGATTCTGATGCAGTTAGGAGCCCCACTTCTCCACTTGATGCTAGAGGTCTTTCAAATCTAGGCAACCCTGTTAGAAAACCAAGATCATCACCCAATGAGGGGCACCAAAGGAGTTGGGATTGCTGCAAAGTAGGTCTAAGCATTGTAGAGTCTTTGGAAGACTGTTCTAGGTTTTGTGGGAAAATTCTCCAGTCACCAGAGAGCAAGAAAATTAGTCTCAGTTCCCAAATGATGATCAAAACCACAAATTGTCAAACCTATAATAGGGATTCTTTAGAGGCATCTAAGTCTTTACCAAAAGATTTTTGTAAGGTTCCTTATACCCAAAATGGATCCGTTATCCACAAGGGTGAACCTGAATCCACTGTTCTTTTTGAGATTGGAGAAACCTGCCAGGACCATGAGCTATTTGGGAGAACCCGGTCCTGTTCATTGGACTCTTGTAGTCCACTGAAAACTCTCTCTGGCTTAACCAAGTCGGATTCAGACATTGATAATTTTGCTTTGAAAGACATGAACATCCTAGTGAGCTCTCCTCCTCATTTTATTGGGGGAAGCCAGAACTCAAATACCTTCCCTCCTTCAAAGTTGAATTCAAACACTCTTTCCATTTGCTCTTCCAATGAATTTCTTAAGTCTCTTTCAGCTAGTGATATTGAACACTCTGAGGATTACACATGTGTGATTTCCCATGGCCCCAATCCCAAAACCACTCATATTTTTGGTGATTGCATCTTGGAGACTCATTCTAATGCATTTAAAAACCATTTCAAGAATGAAGAGAAGGAAGTGAATCCTGGAGGTGACAGGTTAGAGAGTCCAAATCCAAACCCATATCCCTCAAGTGACTTCTTAAGTTTCTGCCACCATTGCAACAGGAAACTAGAAGACGGGAAAGACATTTATATTTATGGGTGGGTTAGCACTGCTGCATATCTTTTACTTTGACAAACAGATTCTTAACGTGTTCTTGAAAATACATAGAATGATTTGTAAATGTGAATCCAATGCAGAAGTTACGATTAGTAGCGTTGAAGTAAACATATATACATGCTCATTTATAGTATGTTTGGATTCACATTTAAATTGACATAAATCCATGTTTAGAGGTTGTTCAACAGGTCACGTCTAAACATGAATCCAAATATGACTATTAGATGGATTAAATTTGATTCAAAGATGGGCTTCTTTTGATTATCTTGCAGGGGTGAAAAGGCATTTTGCAGTTTAACTTGCCGAGCCATGGAGATCATGATTGATGAGGAGCTAGAGGAATCGACCCCTTCTTCTGAAAACTATCCAAAGCCAAAATTTGGTGAGCAACTTTTTGAAACAGGCATCCTCACAGCTACATAAAGGCTTATGTACCACATGCACATGGTCCATGAGAATGGTAGACGCACCTGATCATCTGTTCACAGTGAGCTGTTTTATGTGCATCCTTTAGCAGCCTGGATGGTCGTTTTGTACATCATTGCGTTTGCTTGGAATTGGTGTTTCAAGCTCTCATGGTCTATGCTGGATTGCGGTTCTCATTAAGCTAGTTTTGTTTTCTATTATATAAATAGAGATATATGTTATCAAACTATTGATAGCCTAAGGAAAATTAAAGGGTTGAGGCCTATTTTTCTGGATTTCCCTTTTGAATTTTTCTTGCATGATCTCTATATTATGTCAATGTATACAACCCCAAACAAAGTTTTTGACTTCTATGATATATTACTATCCTAGATTATACATCTTCTTGCCTTTACCTGTGAGGTTTGGACTGAAAATCGAAAAACTGAATGGCTGTTTTTGGTACCTTTTTTCCTTTGCGTTTCCCCATTAATTTTTAACCTGATTGAATATGCTTGCATTTAGACGAATCTTGTGATTCCCATTTTGGTAATATATATATATTGCAAACTCCAAAGAAATGCCATTTTCTCGTACTGTTAGGAAATATTGTTTAATTTCGTTCCGATCTCTTCATTTTTCTAGCACGTTTAAAAAGTGGAGGCTCCTCACTTTTGAAATTAAATTTGAGTGACTTAAAATCCCAAAGAAAAATGCAATTTCTGTGAGCTAATTGCTAAAACCCGTTTGCCTTTGTTCAGATGAAGTTCAAATACTTCAAAAAGGGTATCCACTTGTTGACCAAAGTGAGACGCTGGCTTGATATTGAACACTGCTTCTCACAAACAGAACAAAATTTTTTAAGCACTGCTCGCATGATGATTTACATCGTAAATTTAATCACTTATTTTTATCAAGTTAAGTTGAAAATAGTTTATTTTAATAAATTATATCTAAACTTTTGCTGAAATAAGTGAAAAAAAAAAGTTTATATAATTTTTAGTTATTTTCATAAATTCTTCTAAATGAACTTTAAAGACCAAAGTTCCGAGAGCTTGTTGTTAAGGTTTAATATATTATAAATAAATTCGTATTATTCTATTATTTTTTTTCGTGCAATTATCTTCTACGGGGGTTCCTTGTCCATAGTTCGCATTTTGTGGCTTTACTTTTCAATTTCTGAGCTTAGCACTCTAGCAGTCCATTTATCAAACTGCTGCTTTCTCTATGGTTGATTTGGCGTCTAGGCAACCCAGTGAATGAGGCTGACAGGAAGAAAGTGAATAATCAACAACATCCACCAATCACTGTTTATTACATTACATAGCACAAAAGTTTACCATCAGATTAATTAACTGATTGAACCGATCAAACCGTCACCTGATGTTGGAGCTGACAAAATGATGACCCGATTCTGCTTAAATACTCATTAAAATATAGTTTAGGCAATTAAATTTCTAAGATAAATCTGGACTTTCTTACTCGTTTAAGCCTACGTAAAAGATTGAATTTAGTACACATCAATAATAATAATAATAATTCAATAAAACTTTTACCACTTTTAAATAATTGTTTAAACTCAAGTCTAAAAATAGAGAGAACAAAATTGTAATTATACAAGCTAGTTTTCCCAAGTTCTACACTCGCCTAAAATTAAACTTTGAACATTTTAAAAGATAAAATAATTTTAAACTTTTTAAAACTTCATTTGCATAAATCCATTACTCCCCCCAAACCGGCAACCAAAATTGGCAGCTCTGTTGAAGGTATCAAAAATACAAAAGCCATGCTCAATTTACATGGTAGTTTACTGGCACTCCACAACGCTACTATCTTACTTTTCCCATAACGTCATGCAGATTGCGGACCCAACACAAAGAAATTGTTTCTCACTTCATTTAACTGATTTTCTGTTGCTAAACTGCAATTCTCATTTTCTAGGTTATGATTAAATTCAGGAACACAATGCAGTACTTTTCTTAAAATGGGTTTATGTAAACCCAAGTTCAACTTTCGGATAGGTAACATGTTCATCGTTGTCCTAGTAAGATTCTACAAATATATCGAGTAACAAAGCTAATTTGAAAGTTTACATATCCAAAATAAACATAAAACTAAAAGGGCAACAGCAAACAATTACCCCCAACCAAAAACAACCGACAAAACAACTGCTGACCTGATCCCCGACACCAAACCAACGTGAAAACCCGCTCCTCTTCCTTGGATGGGGTTCAGCCTGTAGTAGAAAACTGAAATTCCACACGTGCATGCATTTTCCTCATACTCTGAAGTTGCACTTGGGTTGCCACTACGTTCACAGGAATGAAGTGAAAGCAAATTCAGTCCTATAGAAATCGATAAATAATCATGCCACTTGCTCAGCCTCTTGTTTGTCGTGTGTTGTAGGATTTGCAGTTCAAGCACTTTTGTGCAACAAGATGGAACTGAACGTGAGAAGTTTTGCCACAATCATTGCAAAGGATCCAAACCTGTTAAGAGACTATCACCATTAGTTCCTCAAAATCCGGAGGAAAGGTAACTTTCTATTGTATTTAACTCAACAAAAATGTATCACACTACATATCTATGTCAACTACCAATTCATCATATACAAACTTCACTCTCTATCATCCCCTCCCTCATTTGCGTTGTCACAACAAAGCATCAATAAAATCAAGTACTGACTGAATATAGCCGTTTCATGGTTAACATGATGACATATAATATCCATCATCATCTAACAGGGAGAAAAAGGATGCTGACCATTTTGTTTTGATACGGTTCGGGCATTGGTGTAGCCGCAATCTCCAAGTCAAATTTCTCCCATACCTTTGACATATCACAAACCGACTTTGAGCAGAGGGGGCAAGCATACCTGATGCAGAATCAAATGCAAAGATAAAGAAAAATACTGCAACAAGACTTGAGAGCAGATAGAAAAGGACAATGCAAGGAGACAGTTAAGAGCTCTGGGATACTCACTGGAAATGTTCCCTCATTTCCTTGAGGCAGCTCTTATGGATTGTATGTCCACACAGCAAAACAGTGACATCATTCACAGATTCAAACAAAAACTGCAATCACAAATTTGGCGTACTTGCATCAACCTCCAGCAATTCAACAAATTCTTGAGAATCAGTGCCAAAATAAGGAAGTCGTATGTTACCTCAAAACAAATGGGGCAATCATGATGCATTGCTCCTTCCACACAAGGGTGACTGTTTTTCAGCAGAGTTGAGTAGCAACAACCTATGCAAGTAATCATGACCAACTAAAGCATTTTGAAACCATAGCATTGATATTTAGTATTTATTACAAACGTAGGATCGAAAAATATTACATACCACACTTGTAGCAGTGGAAGAAATTTTCACTTCCTCCAGTTCTGTATCAAAGCATATCAGAATCAATCGGGCTGAATTTTGATACAAAATACAGTATCTAAAAAAGCAAAATATACTCAAGAGTAGAACTATATCACAAGGAGCACGGTCATTTTAATGCTGGGACAGAAGCAATATAGCAGTGCACTTGATATTTCAGATAATTTAACCAGATTAGTTAACCAATTATAAATTCATACCTGCAAATTCCACAGCCACTGCAATGGTACTGTTGCTTAGATACCTGCACAGATAAAATAAATAAGTTAGTCTAACACATTCTATGTTTCATTTTTGTGAAGAGACTGTCAGCATTACAGGACATGCTACATGATGCAAACCTTAATGGCTTAACAGTTCTAATCTAATAATCAATCCATCACCAAACTATATTGTACAGTATAGAGAATAGACACTAGCTTGTGCTAATCTCATGGATAGATAAAATAAAAATATAAAAAATGAAAAGAATTAAAAAGCCCTCTGTAGGGTTAAGTACTTACATCATCATCAAAGAGTTTACAAGTCCCACAGAAGTACTTGCCCATACAGACACCACAGTTGATACAGTGTTGCTGAACCTGGAAGCAGCAGATATTGACATAAGAAAAAACTTTCATGAGGGATTCTAAATTAAGCAACCTCAGGATTCATAATGGTCTCACGGATTGTCCAATTCCCAGAGAGGTTTCAAATGTCATATTGCCTAGTCATTAGCTTATGAGAATGTCACAAAACTAGTACTTGCTTACAGTTTTGCATAAAACATCTAGAAGAGCCTTCAAAAAGTAATAAACTTTAAAATTCTTTTCAACAATGCAACTTTTTGTTCTTTCAATGTCTACGAGCATTCTTGCACACTCTCACGCTGAGGTCATTTCTCTAGTATTTGACAAATAATAAAGATTTAACCCAGCTTAATTATTATCTAGATCTTCCCTTAACATACCACTATGAATGTTACACAAAAGGATAGTAAAGAAAATATAAAATCACCTCTTGTTCAGTCCCACAAAGTGAACAAATCACCTGAATATAGCAGAGTTATTGATTAGCATAGCCTCAAAGGTGAAATAAAAAAAAACAAAATGGAGCTCAAAATTGTGGAGATTCAAATAGGTGGAGTTCAATTAAATGAGCATACCTGTTTAACTTGATGGCGGGGAATATCATGTCTCTGCTTCTTATCGATGTTGATATTATTCTACCAAAAAACAAGATAAAAACAAATTAAACAGAATGCTAAACATAAAATTTAAACACAATGATCCAGTTTCATTCGACATTCCAAGTCAAAGTAATCTAAGTCTGATTGCACAGAGCTTATGGACTCATTAAAACCTCCAAAAAACAGTAGGTTTAATCAACTGACATTAGCTTTTCCAGTTTCTCATAGGAAGGGCTATTAAATGACCCCAAAATTAAAAGGCAAAGAAAAATAAAAACAGATTAAACTTGGACTATTCTTACACGTCTATGTATATTGTCTACATTACAAGGGGGAAAAAAAGATTTTCTAAGAAACATCTTGAAATATGAAATAAGATGGGCTCTTATCATTTATATCGACATGAACAACACCATAGATAAAGTATTTAAATAAAAAACTGCTATGGCGAAATACTAGAGTGGAAAATTAACTCACTTTTGCCTCATTGTGACAATGGCGGCAATCAAAAATCTCATTGCAACAGGGGGCTCTAATACGGCATCTTCTTTGGTAATGTTGACATCTGCAGGGGATGCTTATGTTCTTAACAAAAGAAAAGGAAATGCTAAAACTTAAATAGTAGAAGTCAATCTAGCAAACATGAACTTACCCATATTCCATATATCCTCTCTCTTGTGAGTCATTGATCTCTTTGTGGGCTGTTGATTGACTCGACTCTTCTCCAAGTATTTGCTCTGCATTTGATGGAAGATTATACACATCTTTGTCAGTCATGTGCTTCATGTCATGGCACTCAAACTGCAGAGGCTCAGAGTGCATTACTGCTACCTCTCCCATGATGCTAGCTATCTTTAGATAAGATTATAAGCTATCTAGAAGAAGGCAGTAAGCCTAGTGACCTGCATGAAAAAAACTATTTAGACATAATCCCAAAACTATTTTGCTTTCTTCTACACTGCTGAAGATCAATTGAAAGCAGCAACAACAAAATTGAATTAAGATTGGTCAGCTCCAATCAGTAATACTCCAAGAGGGCACAGCACACACCAAAACAAGTGCACATACAATAATTCCACATAAACACCAATGTAGCACTGGATTGCTTGGCAGCTTCTAGAGGTAAATAGAAACCAATAGCATTGAATGATCACTTGATTCCTTGAAGAACTCCTGGAACAAATCCCACTATACTGGAGCCAACCAATAGAGACTCCAACCTATGTTAAAAGCAATAAATCACTCAATAAAAACATTCCAAATTATGAAAATAGAGTGGAGATGTCTTGATTTTATTGTCCCTGAAGGACCAGCCTACCTTACTTGGCAGTTCTGCATTGACTCCTCCAAAAACTGAAACTTACCAAAAGCAAATACTTAGCACATTAATTACTCTGTTGGTCCTTATAGTTTCACCAAATTTTTAAGCCTTTATAATATAAAAGTTTTATATGGTAGCCTCCTACTTTTAGGGTGTATTTGGGTAAACAATTTAATCAAACACTTTCTAATAAGCTCTTAATATCAAATGTGAACTTATTTATAAACATGTCAGTGAAGTTTACAACCCATTAAAATAAGCCAAGAAAAACTTAATTTTGATAAACTTCCCCACAGAGCTTATTAAAATAAACTAAAAAAGACTTACAAAAAAGAAGGTCATGAACTACTTTCATAAACCCAAATAAGCTCTTTCAAAGGCCCTCTTTAGAGTTTTGATAGGTCCAATCAGCTAACCCTCCACTAATGATTGTTTATAGTCTATGCAGACCATTCTGTATTGTTATTACTGTACGTTTATAGTGGACTTAATTAGAAAAAATTATATTTGGTAAGGGTTAAATTGAATAGTTAGTTAAACAATAAGAACCTATTTCAAATTTTTAAAAATAAAAACTTTTGTTAAAAATTTACAAAGTACAAAAACCAATTTGAAAATTCAATGAAACTATAAGGACCGATAATTTAACCTTTTATAAATTTCATATAGTCTGCACCTTGATAGATTCCTTTTGGCCAAATCAGAATTTTTTTTTAGTGAGTTCACTTGTCAAATCAATATGTGATCGATAGACCCCTTTGCCAAAAGGAACATTCGAATTACTCCAAGGACTGCATAACCATATTGAAAATTCAAGAACATGAAGTCCCTATCCATAATCAAAATAGGTTTGTCTCTTCAAGCAACTTGACCAAGCCTAGATGAAATGTAAGCTGGATGAAGAAAGAGACAGATTGGTACTGATAATTATCATCGACCAAACAATAGGTGCAAGCATTAAGCCGACCCTTTCACAATTCACAATGGGCAAAGAAACAAAAGCATAATTGTCATGAATTATGCGAAAGGAAATCCCATAAGATGCTTCAACGATACCAAAATTAGTTCCAAATCCTATACATTTGTAGATGTTAAAAGTTTTGCGGACAAAGTGTATCAAAATGGCAGTAAAAGATGTACTTTTCGGGCCACTCTTCCATTAATAAACAGAGTATCCTTGTAGTGTATAATCTGCAATTGGGTGTCCACTTTGGACACTAAGTACAATTTCCTGGAAAACATTTCTATGCACAGTTGTACACACTAGCGACACCAACAAAATCACTCTTCCACCTCGAACCTTAAATTTTTGCACTCCCGAATCCCCTATGTTCTGGCACCTTACCCATCCATACAACAAGCAAAGAAGTGTCTTCTTATTAATTTCCAAACACATAAAACTTCCTTATAGCTAAAAAAAATTGTTTTCACATTTTCTTCCATATAATATGTGCAACAACTTTCTAACGTGTATAAGTATTACGTTCAAAATTGAGTTTCCAGAAACATCAACAAATATCACAAACGCACAAATTACAACCGTAAAACCAAAATTAATCAGCAAACAAAAGCAATCGCAAACAATTGACAACATCAATTAAACTATTAAGTTTTGGAAACGCATTAAAAATGTAAGACTTGAAATGATGCTGCATTTCTGCTTCTCCAAACGGGGCATTATAATAATAATAAGCAAAAATAAAAAAGAAAGAAGAATGGGTGAAAATTGTCACAGAAGAACGAACTTTGGAGTTGGAGAGAGTGCTGGGCGATCCAATTGGAATTTCGAATTAAGAGTCTTAAATTCGGAGCTCCGATTCGTATATCCCCTGACCCAGCAAATACGAATATTACAGAGGAGCACAGGGGAATGAGAATGGGAATGGGAATGGAATTTATAGTCCCTCAACGGCCCATGTTTTCCAGAGCCTTCGGAAACTGTCACTCTCAATGCTGGTGACAGCTTTGGCGTTTGTTTGTGTCATTCCAAAACTGCCCTCTCTCTCTCTCTCTCTTATTAGTGATTCAAATATCTGAACGCTGTTTCTAAATGGGCACGTCGCGGATGCATTAGTTACGTGTCACCACCACATCTCTTGTTTCACTCACATACGGACGATAGTGTTGTCTTATTGTGTTCGGGCACACCGTCCATTCGACAACGACACCGCCCAACCTCTGACATGGTCGGTTTGTCTTTCGCACTACTCATATCATCCGCATTGCTCAATATTTTTTCATTATCAATTAAGTCTCACAAGCCACTGTTTTAAGAGATTTTAAAAGAACATATAACTACAAAGATAGATAAGAGAATCGTGTTATAGATATACTATTATTCTACAATTTATGTAAAAACCACGGAAGAATAAACTATAATCAAATGTCAAATTTTATGTAATTTACGTATCATTTGCATAAGAAGAAGAAATAAAGAGAAACTAAAAAATAGTGTTAGTTTTTTATTATTTGAATTAAAATTTGAGAAAAATTAACATTTTAAATAATATTTAAAATCTTTTAATAGAATAAACTATAATTAAAATCATGGTATTCTTTCACTTACATTTCGTATCACTATTTGTTCTGTCTTTCTTTTCTCTTTTTCAACAGTCCTTAACGAGAGGATTTTTCTAAAAATGTTGTTTTCTTTCCTCCTTTTTTTTTTTTTTGTGCTTTCGAAAGAAAATATTTCACATCGATTTTAAATTAGAACATGTTTAAAAGAATGTAATATTTTGCTACTCTTTATAAGTCATCAGATCAAGACAAGGTACGGTTCTCCGATATAAACCTTTCTTTCGCTTTCTAAACATTCATTAGATTTCAAAGCTTATCTCTTGTAAAGTAATTATAAATAAACAGAAGATACATGGAATTTACCATGTGAGCGTCTAGAACATACGTGGCAGCAAAGCATAAGCACTTCGGTTGTTGCATAATTATCTATTTTCTGTAGATCATATGTTTAATGGAATCGAAGTTAAATCTAATTGGTTTTTTATTCTTAATATAATCATTATAGTTGCTTTCCTTCGTTAATCGCTGAAATCTAGCTTGGCGACTTGACGAGGCCAAAAGAGGAAGTGCCTATGTGCGCCAAGTGGAAAGTTTTTGCTTATCATGTTCTCAATAATGGGTTTCGTGACAAAGATGGCTTTTATGAATCGAGAAAATAATTAAAGAATGTGTCAATCATTGTAAGATTTTATCGAATAAATTACTGAATGTGTCAATCACTGTGTAAGACTTATGTGTCAAGCATTGCTACGTAATTTTACGAGCTGCTACGTGGATCACCGAGTATCAAAATTTGTCACGATAGAGGACCAACGGATACACAACAGATTCGTTACGGAAGTGATTGATTAATTTACTATCAATGGATATAATTAGATCATATATTGGCTACAGAACAAATGTCTTAGTTTGGGTTTGCGTCAGAATTATTACTATTACGTCTTACCATTTATTTTACATCAAGGTAACTTCAGAAAACCTTAATAAACTTTTGAGTATAGGTGGTAATAAATACAATCATACTTACCGTCCGAAAAAAAAATTCAATCATACTTGGATTTGTTTCTTACTGTAACGACAAAAGTTTGTGATGTTTTAGGCCGGACAACAGATTATGTTAAGCAATTGCGTCCGAGATATTATTCTGGGCCATATCTATGACGAGCATAGTGATATAGAAAACCTTTTGGACGGCGTGATGTGCAATTGTGTTATAAAACAAGCCTTCAAATAATTCTGAATCAGTACAAGTCAAATATTTTAGTCTTTAAAATTTAAAAAAAATTAAGTTAGTTTTTTAATTTACAAAAGTTATTTATCCTAATCTTTACCAAAATTTATCTCATTGTTACTTTACACTAAAAGAGACTAGATTTACAGTGATAGTACTATTAATAAAATTTCAACCGATCTCGGCTATACAAATGGTTGATACCTCAACCGTGGAAGTCTCTATTTATTTTTTTTGAGATAGTAATATCTCTTCTGATGATGTTCTGGTTGAACTTAAGAAGGGGTAGATTGGCTCGATTTCTACGCACACGTCTTTATTGACATTTTTTTTCACCTTTTATTATGTGGCATCCAACGATTTATATCACCTGTGTATCTTACCCCAAGAGACACCATAACTGAAATGACGGGATGCCTGGGAACCACATGAATATCTGCTCCTTCAATAATCACGACCTGAAAATCATCTAATCAACTGGGACTTGATAAAACCACAAATACCATATGGGGGAATCAAACATCAAATTTAATGAAAGTACCAATTCAACTATTTAGTTCGCATTGGTCTAGTGCGCAAGATGAATGGCTCCAAGCAGGTGCCATGCACCCACCACTCAATTGGCGTTTTCGGCACAAAAGCCAAGATGTCCTGAAAGATGGATAAGAAGACAACTTAGTAGATTCAAAGCAACTTCAAGCTAAGAGGGAAACGCATCTAGTCATAGAATATCTACAAAGCCTCATCATCAAATATGAGTAATACCTTTAATTCTTTCGACTACCCTCAGCAGGGCATGCTGATACAAAAAACAATTACAATCACTGCAGCCACCAGCCAAAAGAACAAGAACATTCAGGTTAGTTGAAAGGAAAACCAGCAAGGAAACATTTACTAAATGATAGGGTATCATGAATATAAAAGCAAAGCATCAAGATAAATTTGTTATAAAATATTTGAGAGATATTTGCTCACACTGACTGCATGATGGTTTGATCTTCAAAACACCTTGAAGCCTCAACTCATGTAATGAACCACAATACGATCCCCGAGTGCTTTGTTCCTCCCATTCTCATTTCTTTTGGCACCCTGCAGTTCATCCTACCCCTCCAAGGGGTGAAAGCATCTGATGGTATATTGTGCCTGCCAGATAACAGCCTCAAAATATGCTATAGAGACGCCACCTCAAACCTCCAATAATCATAGGTCAAACTCCACCTTCAGTGTAACTGGAAGGTCAAGAATCTTTTAGCTTACATGAAAGAACTAATGCATATGGAAAAGATTATGCACATTCCTAAACGAAATTTAATAACACAAATCCAGCGCCCCCCCCCCCCCCCCCTTCAACACACAAAAAAAAATGAAAACAAAAATGAGAGGGAAATAAAGGAAAGAGAGAAAAGAACAGTGACATATAAATAAAGGTTAGGACTAAAGGTAGCACTTTAAGAAAGTTACTTCTGCAAAAAGAGTGTTGAGCTTTCATGACCTGAATAGCCGTGGAACCTTCCTAAAAGAAAATTTCTATCCTTTTGATTCTTGCAACTTGATTGCTCAAGGATCATGAAATAGCCTCAAGTGGATAACCATAAGAATGAGCTTAACGCGAACACAGTCAATGTATTTTCAAAATGAGCTAGTCACTGGATGCGCTGAAAAAGCAGAGAATTCTCAGCCATTTGAGAACTTATATCAGGAGCTATGGGCTGGAGCAATCCACTATTGGACAAGTCTTCCAAGGCCTTAATGTCTTGTTGCAAACGGGCCACATGTAAAATGGCATGGTCAAGAACTAAAGGATCATCAGGAGGATTATGGAGAAGGGTGAGCAAAGCCTGTTTATAAACTTGAGCAGACAATAATGGTCTTGCAACTTGTCGACTTCTACAGAAAATTGCCACCTTGATGACATGTTTACAGAGGTTTCCCAGCCTAGACCAGGAACAATCACAAAGTGAAAATTCTGAACCAGGATTCCAAACTGTATACACCAGGCTTCTGTCAGTCTGGGATAAGACTTTGGCAAGATGGAGATTTTGCTCATCCAGTATCACATCAACATCTGGAATATGAAGAGCGTGATACCAAGCATTAGAGGAGAAAGAATTGTCCCGTTGATTCTCAAAACACCCAGTCTCTAAACTGTAGTGATCTAGCCAGTATAATGCGTGAAATTCAGTAGTTAAAGTGTGGATTAACCAGTCAATTCTTAGCCAGAAATTAGCATAATTCTCCTTCAAAAGTATGGATTTTAATTTTAGGTGATACGATTCTATTGCAGCATGTGGCTCGGGAGTTGTCATAGGGAGTGATTTTATGGCATTAATCCACATATCTGCATGAGAAAGAACAGTAATATTATTATTCAAGAAACAGTATTAATGCTCAGAATTTTCAAATGATTGGATACTCCAGTAATTATAACGAAAACATTTAGTCAATTGTAGAAATGCTAACGTAACTGTAGCCCAACAAAACTTAAGGCACTCTTCTGGAGGTGGGACCGAGAATGAAATGACTTGGATATAAAATCTGAATCAGTGTGTTTCAGATTAAATTGATTGTGATGTAAGGATGTTACAGCAAGAGTAGATGTCTTCATTGAATACAAAATGAATTATTACTTGAAAAATACCTATACTAGCTAGCCAATGGCCCTTGAAATAGTCCATGAAGGCACACTGGTCAACAAATATTTGCGTAAGCTCTTCAACTGCATCCATAGCATTAGGCCCACATCTTGTACAGTACATAATCCATCCCAGGTGCCTAAACATCTCGCGCTGCACCTCAAAGTTGCAGCATTTCTTGAAAAGTTTTTTTATCCAAGTACGGCGAACATGCCAGGTACATAACAGGATGCGACATTGGAAAGCCTCTCTGCAATAAGTAAGATCTCACGCCATTTGCTATGAAGGAGGATTCTCTTAAAAATACAAAAAAGTTTAATGAAACTAAAAAGAACCGCACTAATCTCTCTTTTACCTTATGATAGAATAGTCAAAAGAAGGATCATCCAACAAAATAGCATTAGGCCTCCATCTTGGGTCCTTGGTTCGTAATCTTTCAGATAGCAATACAATCCATTTATGAATATCTTTACCAACAAAAGATGAGGTGATGATCCAAGCAACAGGAATTGAATTTTTTGATGAATCGAAAACAAGTAAAGAACATATGGGATACTGTCAGGGACAAGAAAGAAAATATATAAGATATTCTAAGTCCTGCAACATTCTGCTGAAATAAATAATATATTCAAAATAAACAAAAAGAGGGATATATATTATTCATGATTATGTTAATGAAAATGGTTAATTACTGATGATCTAGACAGCTTATAGATGTACAATATATGTTTCTTCTAAACATGTTTTTTCTCATCAAAATTCATGGTAAACAAGATAAAAGCTATACCCTTTGGCCATTCTTGACTTCAGGTGTAACTATCTTAATAATAAAATGTAAATAAATAGTTTCCTTGTTTGAAAAGGCAAATACAAAAACAATGTGCAATACCTTAAGCTTCTTCGAGCCAAAATTTGAATGAAAAGAAATGAAACTATTATTTCCGTAACGAAGCATTTGTTGCAGTTGCCAATCTGTCTGTAAACCCAACACAAATGATTCTGAACTGTCTTGGAAATAAAAAACATGCTTCTGATGGCGCTGAACCCACATCTTTACACTGCATTCATCATTTACATGTAGCTCATGTGAAGAATTTCGAATAGTCCTTTCCATGTTACGCACATCATTTCGAGTGAGAAAATCATCACGGTTTTGGGGCCCACCTTGCTTCTGCTTCACCTCTGCATGATGTTGTATTATATTGTCCATAGTTATTCCAACATAAAGCATAGACATCACTTTCTGACGCAACTCATCTGAAATTCGCAGAGCATACATAGCTCTCGTCCCTACGGCATCCCTGTCAAGTAATCCATGACATGGTGCCCCTGATTTATCTACATGCCTTCTTTGGTTATAAATGATTAGTGCAAGTAGCGGTCGGGTGTACAATCTCTTAACAGTAAAATGGCAAAGGCATCCTCTCATCATGTGACGCCTCCCCGGCCTGCTTCCCTTCCCAGAAGCAGGTTTGGTGCTCGTGCCATCCCCTACACCCGAGTCACTCTCTCGGTAGTCTTCAGGACCGTAAGAACACCAATATCTAGATATCAACATATAATTGCTAATTAGAAAAATCTTTTCAGGGTCCAAGTCAACTGAGTTTCAAATCACATAAATTATATATTAAAAAAAGAGCCAGCCAAATAAAGAAAACAAAGAGTAAGCATATCTTGTAAGTTTGAATTGAAACAAATTGAGTTTACAGTGTATATTCAAGATAGCCATCAACCCTTGGTTTGGCAATGCTTCCAACAGGTCTCTTCCTTCTTGATTCAATGCGAAAGCTAGCAGGGCATTCGGGGTTAGAAGATTCCCCTTTTACAAAATCATCAACTCTGGCGAAAGGAATAAGAGCAATATCATCACCACCTTGGCGACCACCTTCCAATTTAACCCAATTTATATGAGCAGCAGAAAATTCAGAACAAAGAGGGTCTTGCACTGGAAGGTTCAGAATGTCCTCCATTCTCGGCATCTACAATTTCCAAAACTAAATTAAAAAATCACAAACTTGTGCTACAACCTCTCATCCGCGCCACGCAACAATTAGCAATAAGTGACACTTTCAACATTCAATCAAACCTAGTAACTACCATTATTGTTCTTCGCTCAAACTCGTGTAACACTAACTATGGAAATTAGAAAATTTTGATGGAAAATCTGGTTTACCTTGTTGCATTCGCCTCGGCGATGGGGATACACTACTTTTTTTCAGATTAACAATAACATGAACTCGCAGCGAGCGAGCGAGAGTGTGCAATGGATCTCTTCTTCAGCGTGAACAACACCAAAGACCAAGCGCAAGCGAACAATAGTCACCGTCTTTCTGTTTTCTTATGGGCTGGCTAAGCCAGTTTATACAGCCCATAAAGGATTTGGGCTTCAATCTGCCGATCTTTGTTTTCTGAATACAAAAAAGAAGAGAACGATTGTACGAAATACTCAATTTAGTGGCTAGTTTATAACGAACATGTTTTAGTTTTTCATTTTTTTTATTTGAATAGTTTTTCTTTGAAAAACCGCTATTAGGTAATAATTTACTATTAAATTTCATTTGAAAGGTCAGGATTAAAAGAAACATACACATGATCGAATGACTATTATAGTTAAGAAACTTCTCTCTTCAAATACTTAGAAGTATAAAAAACGAAGTAATAACATGAATTAAATTCCTTTCATAAATTCAATTTAACTTTTTTTAAAAACTTGTTTGCAGTTAATTTTTTAAAAATTTTAAAAAATTAATCATTTTTAACTTATAAGAAAATAAAATTACATATAGTACCAATACCAAACTATTATTATAACTTTGTTTTAAATGTTGTATCCTTTTGTGATTAAATTTTATCTGTGTTTTTAGTAAATAAAATATGATTTTATTAGTGTAACTAAACAATTAAAAGTACAATACAAGTTTTTCAATGATTATACCATATATACTAACGAACTTAATTGGATCGATCAAATGATAGATATTTTATTATTTTTTACGAAAAATATATGTGATATATATATAGTCATTTTTTTTCTTATGTCTGCCCCATATGTACTTTCTCACGTATTATTTTTATTTATGATTATATTTTAAATATTCACTATCGTTCAAGGTGTGCTTCACTTTCTTCCCATAACTTAAGTATAATATCAATTTAAAAACATTATCAGTTCAATCATGACTTTCCTTTTAACGTCTCTCTCTTATATACCACACATATATTGATATGCATAAATCGTATCTTCTGCTCGAAAAACTAAAAGGCTCGTTAAAATGGGTATATTTTTTTCACATACTTATATTAATAAGAAAATATTTTAAAAATTCAAATATTTTTATTAAAATCAAGCACACATATTCAATAAACAAAATTCAATGTCTTTTTATTAAGATAAATAAATTTCTTATTGTTGGAACTAAAGAACCGCTACAATATTTTATACATAATTGAGTGACGAAAAATATGCGGGAGCTTTAATTGGACAGACAACTTACAATCCAACATTAATCCATACTTTAAAAAATGCATTTGACTTTTTATGTCTTCCTTCATAATTTATTCTTCTTGGGTGCCAAATTGGAATCTTTTCTTTTAGTGTATGTGTTTAATCAACTGTTTATCATAATTTTCGGATTTTATTTAAACGGGCGAAGGGAATGTTTGGTCAAATCTAAATTTAACATTTTTTCTCTCTCTCAAAAACAAATTATATTAAAGATATAAAGTTTACAAAAAATAAAATAATCATTTGTGTGTGAGAGAAAAACTTTATAATTTAAAAATGAGAAAAATAATTTTGATCATACAATTATATGTAAAATGGTTGAAATTAACATTTATTTAATGATCACACAGTTATTTTAAAGTTATTATAACCTATGGCATAAAAATATATTTATTTCTCATAATTTAAAGTTTATATTTATTTTGTAGATCATATACATGCGTGTGTTCGCCTTATATATCTACTTTTGACGTTTTTAAACCATGGGTGTTGAACGCATTATGATGGTGTAACAGGAAAAGTAATAGTTGGTTAAACCATAGAGACATTTTAAGAAGGTTTGATTATAACATGTATACAGATGAAAGGGGTTTATTTCTTTTAAAAGTAAAATTTGATTATTTATTTTATTTTGGTGTAAAGTAAAACTCGAGTTTTTGGATAAAATTAAGATAGATGACAAAATTCTCCCGTAGACTTATTATTTGAGCTAAGTAGGGTTTGAGTATCAAATATATTTTTTTAAAACTTATTCTAATTTGTATGAATTATTAATTCATTAGATGGATTGAAAAAATTCAATATTTTAAAAAAATTATTAAGCATAGCAAGTTAATCAAGAATTAATTTATGATTAAGTCTTGACAAACTTACTCTACTTAATTTTTAATATTTTAAAAGATAATTTTCATTTTATCTTCTGTTTCAAACGATGTTAAATATAAAATAAAAACCTGCTAGCCGTATATGAATTTTTTTTTTCTTAAAATAAATTATATATATAAATTACGTATGAGATGATTAAATTCTATTTCATATCTAACATTTTTGGAATTCAAATATCTTATTTCCAACTTAATACTTTTCAGTTAAAAAAAACACGTAATTAAGTTAGATGCAGAATATTTAACTTTCATTTTCTTAAATTACATTAATTAAATTCGTATATCTAACGTAGCTTTTTCTTTCTTTCTTTTTAACTGCATTTTATAAATATGCCTTATCCTACATTAGCAAAATATTTTAAGATTTATACTATAGTTTAGCAAATAACTATAAATCAAATTGCATTGCATCTCTGTAAAAAAAAAAAAATTCCAAAGAATATAAATAGAATTAATGCATCAACTGATGTTAAAGAAAACATATTCTTTATGAATGATACGCTTTGATATTTATGATAGCTAGTGTACTCTGCCTTGCAAGGTGGTGATGGTTGAGATAGATGTGACAAATAGGTCAATGAGAAAGATAATTATTCAATATAATCATGGATGTAAGTAAGATGGTCATCAGTCACTACATGAGATCCATGGCCACAGTGGAAATAAGCAATATTTTGTGCTTCGATTGGACATTATTGCATTGATGATAACGTTGCAAGTAATCTCTATGAACATCAGACAATGGTAAGTGGCTGGTTTAGTTGGTGACATTGTTATTTGTTTTCAAAGTGAAGAAAAAGTAAAAAAAAGTTGAGTAGAAAAAAAATGTGATGTAAATACATAAGAGCAAGAACAAATAATCTTATTTTAAATTTATTTATGTCAAGAAAACAAGGAAAAGTAATTTTTTATTAGATTAAATAAAAAATTTATATTTTACTATAAAGATATTTTTTACAAAATATTATAATACATTTTGTTTTGTTATTAGAAAAAAATCAAAGGATAAATTTTGATATTTATAAAATTTAGCTTTGATTTTTATCCAATATTAAAAAATAAAATATTGTAATTAATCTTGTATTGCTTCCTTTTTTACTTCCTGATTTTTTTCCATGTTTGTGTTAGCTTTCTCTTTATTTCTCTACTCTGCTCCCTTTCTCTCTTTCTTTTTTTCACTTTAAAGCTCACCATTTTGAGTTGAGAATTTGGAGGAAAATATCACCATTTTAATTACTACATTTATTTTAAAATTTTCCAATGAAAAGTTAGGTTATCTTATCTTATTTTGATCATCCATTATCAAGCACTATTTATAACATTTTTTACAATAAAATAAATAATTTATTAAAATTAATAAAAATAGTAATATATAATAAATTTCTGCCTTATAAACAAAGTCTGAGTCTGCTATGTCTCATATTTCAAATGAAACAAATCTAACATTGAAAGATATGTATAACTCAAGTTATACACAAATGAACAATATATTTATTATTCAAACTCAATTTCAAAAGAACTAATCCTGATTAAAAAACAAATATTAAATAAAACAGAAATGATAACTGAAATTTTGTGATTTAAAAATATTTAAACATAAATTTTATAGTAAAAAAATTGGCATCTTAAACTTATTTTTTAGCTTAAGTTATGAATGAATGAGTAAAGATTGCTAAATCATCACAAGACCAATTAAAAATACCTAGAAGCAGTTCATGATAATTATAGCACTGCCTCAAGTCAGAAAATGAGTTCATCAAATGTTTTAGTCATCTAATATTTATGTTGTCCTTTAAATTTAATCGGCGTTGATAGCTATTGTCCAATTTTACATAAGGCAATATTGATATACACACAGATTTTAAATTTTCATAAAAATATTTGTTTAAACTGCATAGAAATTTTCCTTAACTTTGTTTTAATTTAATAGTGTATGTGCAGTGTAATGAATATTTTGTTATATTAAATAAAATATAATCAAAGAGATGATATTTTATTAATTAAAAATCAATATAAAAAGTTTAAATTTTAGATTAAGAATTTTCACATAAAATTTAAGTTAAGATTGAATTTAAAAATAATTTTCTATCTTCATTAATATAGTTTATCCAACAACAAAAATTAATTTTAAATTAATTCATCTAAGAAGAAATATATTTTTGAAAAATACTAACAAATGATTTAAAAATATTATTAATAATAAATAAAATTTTATTAATATATAATTTATTTAATTTTAAATATATTAATACAAATTTAATGAAATTATTTTCTTCTATTATTATTTTAATCAATACTCTTAAATATCTAACAACGCTATTTACATATTAAAATTCCTTTAAAGATACAGCACTGCACAGAAGTCAAATCAGTGGCTGGGTGTCTTAATTATTCAACAGTAAATTTCAATCCCAATTCCCAAGGAAACGAACGGTCAGAGAAAAAATTAATTAATTTTTTAAAACATATGTTGAATGATAGTACCTTATCTTATCTATGATAAATAAATATTTAATTTATTAAGATAAAGAAATTATATATATATACATATTTATATTTTATTGACAAATGTTTTCACTTAAATTAAGTTTAAAGATTAAAACTAATCAAATTTTAAAAATTACAAACTATTATAAATTTAACGCATTAATAATCATATATATTAAAAAAATTTATAAAAAATCCTATTCATTAATTTTTTTAACATATATTTTTAGATGCACGTTAAAAATTATTAATTTAATAAAAAATTAATACAATTTTAAGTAAAAGGTTGGTCCCCACGTTGAGTTTTCCTACTACCCCTATAAATACTGAACTAATTGCCATTTACATGCCTGCGCCACTCCCCCATATACACTAGCAAGTGTCCCAAACCAAAATCCAAAGCTAAACCTCTTCAATTCAATTGAATTCCATGGCACCAACCATTCCCAACCCTCCTCCGATTTCAATTCAAAACCAAGACCCCGAAGTTCCCCAACCCAACCCTACCTCTCTTCTTTCCGAACCAAGCTTCTCCACTGTTCAAAAAGTAAAACGCAACCTATTACTGCGTTCAACATGGACCGAACTTAACGGCGCCATGGGTGACCTAGGCACATACATACCCATAGTTTTAGCGCTAACCTTAGCCAAAAACCTTAACCTAGGAACCACATTGATTTTCACTGGCTTCTACAACATTATCACCGGTGCCATCTACGGTGTCCCCATGCCCGTTCAGCCCATGAAGTCCATCGCCGCCGTCGCCCTCTCTGACCCCTCCTTTTCCGTGCCGGAGATCATGGCCTCTGGCATCTTGACCGGAGCCACCTTGCTCGTCTTGGGTGCCACCGGGTTGATGCAGCTCGTTTACAAGCTCATTCCTTTGGGTGTTGTAAGAGGCATTCAACTTGCTCAAGGCTTGTCCTTCACGTTGACCGCGGTCAAATACGTGAGGAAGGTTCAGGACTTGCCGAAGTCTAAGTCTTTGGATGGAAGACACTGGTTTGGGTTTGATGGGTTGGTTTTGGCCATTATATGCGTTTGTTTTATAGTTGTTGTGAACGGTGCTGGTGAGGATCATAGCGTAGAAACTAGTAGTGGTAGTAACAGTAGCAGTGTTGAAGTTGAAGAAAGGAAAAAGAAGAGAATGAGGAAGGTTATTTTCTCACTTCCTTCAGCTTTTATAGTGTTTGTGTTGGGTGTGGTTTTGGCTTTTATAAGAAGGCCTAGTGTGATTCATGAAATTAAATTTGGACCATCTTCTATTGACGTCGTGAAAATGTCTAGAGAAGCATGGAAGCAAGGGTTTATAAAGGGGACAGTTCCACAACTTCCTTTGTCAATTTTGAACTCGGTTATAGCTGTTTGCAAGCTATCATCTGATCTATTTCCAGGGAGGGATTTTTCAGTTACCTCGCTGTCTGTGACAGTAGGGTTGATGAATCTTGTTGGAGGGTGGTTTGGGTGCATGCCATGTTGTCATGGGGCTGGTGGGTTAGCGGGGCAATACAAGTTTGGAGGAAGGAGTGGAGGGTGTGTTGCACTTCTTGGTGCGGCTAAATTGGTGTTGGGGTTGGTGTTGGGCACTTCTTTGGCTCACTTTTTCAATGAGTTTCCTGTGGGGATCTTAGGGGTGTTGCTATTGTTTGCAGGGGTTGAACTAGCTATGGCTTCTAGGGACATGAATAGTAAGGAAGATTCGTTTGTTATGCTCATTTGTACTGCGGTGTCGCTTGTGGGTTCAAGTGCTGCTCTTGGCTTCTTGTGTGGAATGATTGTTTTCATGCTTCTTAAGCTAAGGAATATGACAAATTCTAAGCCTCTTTCTGCTGTTTGGAAGAATGAAATTGAAAGCACTGAACAAGTATGAAGGAAAAATATCTATCTGTGATGTTATTGCTTGCTTCTAATATCAGTGTTTTAATTGTAGTATAAATACTAGTCGTTTATATGTGTGGCTTACAATAATTGTGTCACAAGTTTCCTTTTCGGGGGTCGTTTTCTCATAGTTCTGGCATTTGATGCTGAATTATTGAGCTTCACTCTTATGTCTTATTTGTATGTAAGGTGTGTAGTATGAAGTTGTTCTGGTTCTTATTCTGTGTGCCCGCATATATACATGGCTACATGATCATTGATAACGTGTACGTACGTAGTGTCACTGTCAATACCAAAGAAATTGCTTTTGGTTACGGAATCCTTTTTTCTGAGTTATTATTATTATTATGCAGAGTAGAGAAGTCAAAAATGATTCGGAATGGCCCCCAACAAGTCCATTGAATTATCAATTTGTGTTTTCACTTTTAAGTTGGAATTGATTTTGAATTTTTTATTGTATTTATTTTTATTTTTTTTATTAATTTTAAGTATAAAATGTGAATTTGGATTAAATTTAAATTTTATTTTGAAGCCCGAATAAAAAATTTATTTTTGGTTACAGCCCAACAAATTCCAAAGCTTGAATTGTACTAATCCATGCGAGTTGGATAGCTATTTTTATCAACTTTATGATTATTATAAATTTTCACACTACTTTTTTATAACATTTTTCTTTTTGATTTTTTTCTAAATTATGTTATTTGTCATTTCATTTTATACTATTTTCTCGATTTTTATGTCACTTCTTGTTTGGGAAATTTTGCAAAACTCGATCAATAGAGAAACACAGTTACTCTTTTTCAGATACAAATGAAAAATAATGGATGGGACGAATTCTTTCTGGACGACAACATACAAAATTATATAGCTGCATTCTGTCCAATTTCTGATTTATTTCTTTAACTTATTTTTTAACCAATAAACAATTATTTCTTTTGAAATTGTATAAATTCGTGCTCAGATTTTTTACACCGTATAGCAATGTTGTATATAAATTTATTACTTTTCTCTACTCCCACTAATTTAGTAAATTTTAAATTTACTTTTTCAAATAATAAATCATAAAAAAAACTGATTTTTCCACAATTTAGTTTTTAAGTATATTTTTAAGTAAAATAGTAGTCACTAAGCTAGACTTTAGAGTAAATCACGACTTAGATTCTCAGTTTAATAATTCATGTCTCGAAACCATAAATTTAAGACAGATTAATTCTAAGGAAACATTTAAAAAACATAAAAAAATATTTTTTGAAATTTTTTATTTCAAGAGACATTTTATTATAATTAACTAAAACAAATATTTTTAACTTATTTCATTATATTTATAATTATTTATATATTATAAACCCTCTTGTAATAAAAATTTAATAATTATGCTTGATTAAATTGCTTATCTAAATTCACCTTTAAGATATAATACAAAAATATATTAGTCCGAGTCATACATAGTGGGACATATATACAGTTGACCTAACATATATTTGGTCTGTTTGTTTTTCATTACAAAATGAAACAAAGTTTAAAAAAGAAAATTGACTACCATCTTTGTAAGCACAATTTGATTTTTGCATCCCCTAGATTTAAAACAAATTTTAAGACGTACTGGGCGTTTTAAATTTAATTCAAATAAATTTTAAAGTTTTTCTAATTTTATTTATTTATTTTGAAATGTAAAACTATTTACTATGTTTTATATTTTATTTTATTAATTTATTTTATATTGTATTAAAGTTGATATATCTATATAATATACTAAACCTAATGCACCTTTGTACACTGGCATAATATTTTTTTAAGATTTTTTAAAAATAATATATTCTACAATATATTTTATTTTTAATTTTATTAATAGTAAATGGGTAAATTGATTTAATTACATTAATTTCTCTAACTATCAGTTGAAAACATTTTAATAATAAAAAAATCTTTGATTTAGAGATACAACAAAGTTAAAAAAAATTGTTCAACAAAATTATAAAGTAATAGTTAGTATTTTATTTTTTTTGAAAATTTTCTAAAAATAAAAAAATATTAAAATAGAGATATAATAAAATAATTTAAATAAAAAATTAATTTAAACTAAATATTAAATCATATTTTATATAAAATAAGAATAATAATATAAAATTATTATTTAATATATTTTATTATTTCTTTGATGACTATATTCATATATTCTACTATAAAATAATAAAATTATAGAATAATATTTAGTATTGTTTTTTAAAACTTTCTAATGATAAAAATAATTTTAAATTAAAGATACAATAAAATAATTTAAATAAATAAATTAAATATTAAATTAAATTTTATATTATATACTTCTTAATTAGGCTTGATAAAGAAATTTTTTTCTATAATTACTTTAACAGTACATGATTAGAGATAAAATTAGAATTAAAATTTAATCAAAATAAAATACTTTAAACAAGATTAATAATAATATTTACTAATTATTATAGCATGTCCTATAATTCTTTTTAAAAAATTTATAATAACAAAAAATAATTTAAATTAAATATTAAATCATATTTTATATTAAACAATAATAATAATATAAAATTATTATTATAGTATTTTCTATATTTTTTTATGACTATATTTATATATTCTGTTATAAAATAATAGTCACACCCACACTAATAGCACTTATAATAATTAAAATTAATAAAAAAATCATAAGAACAATATCTAAATATTTTAACTTAATTGTAATATTGTAAAGTCAGTTTGCACACTTTGTTCTTAAATGATCAATATTTATCTGTTTATCTGAAATAATGTGTTTACACTTGATGGGTAATTACTGCAAACCTTCTTCACAGCTTTCAAGTGAATCTAAGAGGTTTGCCAAGTATTTTTATAGAATTTTATGCTTTTTCTATCTCCTATTTTATTTCTATTTGCTTATTTGTACTAATTGACTCAAATTCTATTTTGAAATCATAATAATATCCAAAGTAGTTCATGATTTTATCCTTTTATTTTATACTTCATATATTTTATAGTACTAGTTTGCTTTCTTCTTTTTTTTTAAACACTAACAATTAGTTATGTTCTTCATTGTCCTTTAAGATTTTAATGATTGAAAGTTAATTTGGTAAATAATTTTGACACTCCTTTGATCGTAAAAAGATGACTCCTAATTTGGATAAGATTTTCGACATTATTCCACTCAAATCAATATAGAAAAATAAGGAACGGGTAATTCACAAATGAAATATGACTAGATATGATAATGAACATGATATTGCTTCTGTTGAAATAGTTTTGCTAGATGTTCATGTGAATTATATTACTATTGAATTAGTCATCATTTTATAGTGGGTAATAATAATTTTTTAAACTAATTTATTTTTCTTAACAACCTCACTCGTAGGTCAAATTCAAGCATCTATAAGGAAAATATTTCTAAATCAGTTTAAAGATATGTTTCGTGAAGATGAACTTTATATTTTAAGTAACTTTAGAAGGGGACAAAACGTGAGAGATTACCGTTACACTAGGCACACTTTCAAGATCAACTTTCAGTCTACAACTTCCATTCGTCTTTGTGAGCCTATTGATGTCTATTCATCAATTTTGGTTTACCTTTATCTCATTTGGTTGGTATGTCATTTCTTTTTAGATACTTAGAATATTGTGACAAATAGTGCTTTTAATATTCATATACTTTTGTGAGGCCATTGATAAATATTTTAATACTATCTAGATATCATGGGAAGAGTTAATAGAATTGAAAATTCGAAGGAAGCTTGTAAAGATGATATGTGTCGTAGGAAACAATTTTTAATTGCATTAAGTTTTGCAATGATCATAAATAAAAGTCAAAGTCAAACTTTGTCTAATATTGGTTTATATTTGCTAAAGTCCATTTTTTACAATGAACAATTATATATGGTTATCTCTTGAGTTAAAAGTAAAAAAACGTCTTAAGATTCTAATATGTAATAGAGGAAATATTTTTTCAAATACAATTACTGATGTTGTTTACGATAAAATTTTAAATAAAATTTTGAAATGTTTAGTTAGTTTATACATATTAATGATATGTAATTATAAAAATCTTTTTTTAATAAATTTTGTTCATCAATAATTGTTATTTTTTTTATCAAAATCTAGTGCATTGCACTGTTGAAATACTAATTTAATCTATATTGAAATTATTGACATTAAATAACATTTTATTAACTTTGAAAATGTAGCAGCTGTTAAGATATTTGTAAACAATACAGGGTTGATAATAGATCATTAATATTTATGATGATAGATTTGGCTCGTAAGCAGTACATGCTTGAAACTATTGAACTTACTGTTTATGTACAGTAGAAACTCTTTAAATTAATAATGTCAGGATCGGAGAAATTTATTAATTTAGAGAGTTATTAATTTATCGATAAATTAATAATTATTAATTTAAAGAGTTTTTAAGTAATTATACTGTACATACCAAACAAAAAGGCAAATTAATCTATGCCTCTTAGAATTACGTTGCAGCGAACCTTGGGACTCAACGTACAGTAAATTAGTAACTACACTATGTATGCATTGGAAATCAATAATGACCTTTGAAGTACAGTAAATGTAAACAAGAGGAACAAATGTGTTCAATGTATTCTTAAGCAAGTTTGGCATATATAAATTACATGAATGTGTTAGAGTATTCAAACCATATCTCACAAGATGGCTTCTCATCTAAAAGGTGTTACAAAATCAACTATGTCAGATCAAATACGTAAGGAGTTGTGTGAGTATAAGAGAGATAATCCTGCAAGCACACAAAAAGACTTGTAGATATGGCTTGAGGAAAAATTTCAGTTGAAAGTTAGTCAAGGAACAATATCAAACACACTTAAGCGGTCAGATGACTATCTCTTTGCTAAAATAGAAAAGGGAAGAGCAGAGATCAAAAGACACAAACCAGCAAAATATCCTGACATGGAGAATGTTGTTTATGAGTGGTTTCTCCAGCATCAAGAACATGTGAATATCACAGAAAAATTAATTTTGCAGAAGGCAAGAGATACAATGAAACTCGTGTACCCTCATGATGATTCAGATTTTAACTTCTCTATAGGATGGCTTGGGAAATTCAAGCACCGACATGGCATAAAGTCATTTCGTCATTTTGGCGAGAGTGGGTCTGTTGATATACAAGACATAAAGCAGAAATTGGTATCGATTCGAGAGAAAATTGATCAGTTCCCTATGAAAGATGTT